CATGGAAGAAAGATATTATGTAGGTACTGATTTGTTTGTGTGGTTGTATTGTATGTGATTGTGTGTGAGAATTCAATGCCCTGAAACTACATTTTTGAATGAACTCCTTTTCATAAGCATTATATAGGTACAGATTTGTATTCAATGCAATTAAATTACATTTTTTTAAATGAAATTTTCTTCATAAACATTATGTAGATACAGATGTGTATTCACTGCCCCCAAAACACATTTATATTTTAAAAATTCTTCATGAACATTATGTAGGCACAGACTTTTCATTCATTTTATTGAAACTACAATTGCTGAATGAAATTTCATCTGTATTCAATGTCTCGAAACTACCATATTTCCTCTTTTAAGTGCTAGGCGTAAACATGTGACACACCCAGGCGAGAGATCCAGCGCTTATTGAAGACCTTATTTCCTGGACAGTTGTTTTACCCCAGCACTTACTGGAGGCCGGCACTTATTAGAGGAAATATGGTACACTTTTACTGTTTACTTGAAATGTCTTCATAAACATAAATTAAGTACAGATTTGCATTCAGTGCCCTGAAACTACATTTGCTGAGTGAAATTTTCTGCATACTGAACACTCAGAGACACCCACTAATCTTGGTGTTTAGCAACATTATAACCTGATGTAGGTAATTCTCAGTGGCGCTCTCCTTCACGTCATTCTATGTGTACTCAATAACAAATATGACCTTGAATGTTACGATTTTCTGATGATAAGACATTCAGAGGGGTGTGAGGATTTTGTATGTTTAGCTACATCTGCCAAACCAGATGTGTGTTATTTCAATTAAATACTATATTTATTGGCAAAAACACCTTTCAATAATGAAATTTTGGTGCCAAACAATATCCTTTCTTGAATCGAAATATACATTAAGTTCAAATGTCAGAATGTAGAACGCAATACCATTCATTAGACAAAGTAGTTTAATTCATTGTTGTCTCAAGTACACAAAGGTCCTTATATCAATGATTGTTCACTCCAAGTCAACACATCAATAATTTAAGTGAATAAATATTCAACACAAACATTTCATTACATTAACAGTAAACGAATAGAAATAAGTGATCCTGGATGATCTGCTGCATCTTGTACAAACAGGGAATTGTAGTGTAAAGCTACAAAATCTCAGACACATTTACAGTCTGGGCTCGGTTTAAGCATTAAGAACTTGCACTGGTGCATCCTGAAACTGCAGAATGCATCCTCATGTCTACATCAACATGCACCCAGTGCGCTGCCATATAGCTGGAATATTGCTGAGTGGGGCATACCCAGTGCATGCTGGTATTGTCAGTGTTTAAAACTCCCAAAATTCCAAGCCAGACAGTTGGACTGGTAACTTAAAAAATTACCAGTCCAGATACAAACTTGCCTGTCTGATTTTCAACAATTAACAACTGTGACTGCCAACTCGCGCAATCTCCATTCACTGTTTGTAGGCACCGCAATGAACTACATAGCCCTAACAGGTAATGCACCAAGTTTAGGTAAACTGAAAGCACATGATTGTGATTGGTTATCGTAACATGAACTGTCCAATCGTAAGTAGTTTAACATAATTATCATAATACCTTAAACACCTCAAACTGACAACAAGAGAACCTGTCTGATATTATGAAATATTTACTGAAATTATGAAATATCTACCAGACCACCGGACAGGCTACTTTTGAAATTTGACCATCCGAGATGAAAACAGACCGTTCCGGACGGGCAGGCGGGAATTTTAAACGCTGGTATTGTGCTGTTCATAGAACACAAACTTAAGCTGGAAAACAGAATGATGAGGAACTGGCTTGGAGCAGTGACTCTGATGACTACTCAGACAGTTATTGAATGGCTGTTACTGTTAAGAAATTTTACAAAGACTGGCTGAGTATGGTTTTACGCTGGTTTTAGCAATATTCCAGCAATATCACACCAGGGGACACCAGAAATGGGCTTCACAAGTTGTACCCATGTGGGGAATCGAACCTGGGCCTTCGGCGTGACGAGCGAACGCTTTAACCACTAGGCTACCCCACCGCCCCTTTTACAAAGATGAAATGATGCTATCAGACCCAGACTAATTCTGATAAATGAGGTTCTGAGTCAACAATACCCAAACTCAAGCATTATGTAAAATTTTATATTTAGCAGCATGTGCAACCATTTGTTTTAGCTGGTGCAGCTAGGTTGTTACCTAAGGTTGCACCGAGTGCAAGAAGGTTTCATTTCCAGCCCTGATAATCGATTAACAATGATGCAGTACAAAACACAAGTTCATGCAACAGAAAACATTTTGTTCAAACAATATTTCAGTAACATCACAGCAGCATGACAGTCTGGACCAAGTGTTAAGTACAATCGGTTGTTGCTATCAGTCAATAAATGTTTCACTGACAATAGACTGCCTCCGTGGTGTAGTGGTTAGAGCGGCCTGCCGAGAGCGGAAGGTCGCGGGTTCGATCCCCTGACCGCGTCATACCAAAAGACGTTAAAATATGGTACTTGTTGGTCCCTGCCTGGCGCTCGGCATTAATGGATACAACAAGGACTGGTCAGCTCGGTGTCAGTAGAATGTGTCTGAGTGGGGTATTCATGCTTCACTGCGTGGTATCTCAGTGGGCTAGCATGGTATCTCAGTGGGCTAGCACTATAAAACCAGCTTCAGTCTGGGCTTGTACAAGCAGCCGCACATACACATACATGTCGACATATGAGCGAAATATTCTCAAGCACGACGTTAAACCCAATTTCACCTCACCTCACCTAACCTCACTGACAATAATGTTGACTTTGCCTATCTCACACAATCTGATTCAGCACTTTGTTTCCTGATAGGCATTCAATTAATGGTAGCACAGTACTAATGGACCATTCATAATTTATGGCTTGGGGGGTGGAGGGTGAGGGAAGAGGGGGAGAAGAGGAAAGAAAATAATGATTTTAATGGAGAAGCATGTACAATGTGAATGACCCCCCCTAAATTCTATGAACAAAGTAAGTGACCCCCCTGCATGTCATGTACTAAACCAATGACCCCCAATGACCCTATGTTACACATGACATTTATTGCAGAATATTTTTTATGTACAAAATGTGTGACCCAGTACATGTCACAAAACTGATGACCCACACACACACACACACACATCCCCAGAACATCCCCCCGCCATAAATTATGAATGGTCACTTAACAGCCAAGGTTATCACCTAACTTAAAAAATATTACATTTGAAATTGATGCAAAATTAAGATATAACATGATACATTGATAGGCGTATCACTGAGCTGTAAATTCACCAAGAATCGATGAACCATTACCGAACTACAATCTAACATGTAAAATAATGCATTTTCTGTTCTATATTGTGGTATGTCAAACTGCTAATTTTATGATGAGTTACTTCCCTTTCCCTACAGCACCCTTTGAACATTCCACCTGTATGGATTATCGAGTTGGCCTATCATGAGTTGCCATTAAAGTACATGTGTTTTTAATCGGCCTGGTTGTATTTCTGGAAATTACCTTTTAATATATCTTGTATGAAGACAGACCAACAAGCCAAAAAAAATGGGAACACATCCTCAATAAACAATATAACAAAGAAGACTGGTCTAATATATATTTAATGGCAAATAGATGTACAGAAAGCGTACAGTTAAGATGGTTTCATTTCAAGATTACGCACAATATTTTAACGACTAAACATAAGTTACATTTGATGAAATACACAGACTCTTCAATGTGCACATTCTGTGAATCTGCTCCTGAAACAATTATTCATTTATTGTGTGAATGTCGATATACCGTGAAAGTATGGAGGGAGGTATCCGATTGGCTGGATATACTGTCTGAAGGAAATATTGATTTGTCGCATGAAAATATTATCTTTGGTTTCAAAGGTAAAAACAACAACCCACTTAATCTGGTGTTTCTAATAGTGAAATACATGCTATATAAAACAAGCCGAAATAATATAAAGCCAGTTTTTACAGTGCTTCAAAGGGAAATACTCAATTATTACAAAGCTACCAAATATACAGCATTTTCAAATGCAAACCCATCAAAATTCTATGCCTTCTGGTCTTCCTTCCATACACTTTTTGCCAATTATACCAACCTAGATGTCATATAAGTACAATAAAATTTGATAAGTGCATTTGAATACAAGTACTGGTATACATATTAGCCTTTGTTAAGGATAACAGATACATTATAGCAGTTTACCCTGAACATAACGATGATTGCTTTTGTATTGATGTATTGATTGATTGTACTGATGGTGATGTTTTCGCTCAACGTCTGATGACGAGGATGTGTTGTATATGATGCTTTTGTACCACAACAACAAATGTACTCTGGGAAATAAAAATATTTAAAAAAAAAAATAAATAAAAAAATATTACATTTGAAATTGATGCAAAATTAAGATATAACATGATACATTGATAGGCGTATCAGTGAGTTGTAAATTCACCAAGAATCGATGAACCATTACCGAACTACAATCTAAGATGTAAAATAATGCATTTTCTGTTCTATATTGTGGTATGTCAAACTGCCAATTTTATGAGTTACTTCCCTTTCCCTACAGCTCCCTTTGAACATTCCACCTGTATGGATTATCGAGTTGGCCTATCATGAGTTGCCATTAAAGTACATGTGTTTTTAATCGGCCTGGTTGTATTTCATGAAGAATCTAAGTTTACATATGTACGACAAACCCCAAAACATTAGATTTTCCTCCTTTAGTTTACCAGTAATGTAAACTTCATTAATACACCTTTCTGAAAACCTTCATAAATACACCTTTCTGAAAATCAATACATAATTTGGTGACACATCGATATATCAGTCACATTTAAATGAGCAAAACCCGTTGCAAATATTGCTATGAAAATTACTGGAAATGCCTGGAACATGACGATGAGGTAGTTAAAGTTCACGCAGGACTTGTAAGATCTCCACAGCAAATAGTATCATATCATATCAGAGTAAAAGATTGAATTTAATGAGATTGTTCTGAGGACTGCTATAAAAATATCCTAATGAACCATGACATTAAACATGTATGTACAATTCAAGAATAATCCCTGAGCAAATTGGCAGGATCAAGATTATATAAATTGTGTCATGTAAATACTAACTTGAGTAAACAAGTAAACATAACAATGAGCTCATGAAATATATACATCTGTCTCTTCATTTTAACATTGCCATAAATAGAATGAATTTTGGAGAGTGAATAAGGACGAGGACATATAGGTTATGACTTGATGAAGGTGAGTGAGTAAAGATTGTTCCCTTGGTTCAGTGCTGCCGATCATCGAATGTCAATGATAATTTCCACACATTCTTCCACTATAAGTAACCACGGTAACTGGAGTTTACTGAGCCACAAGTATAATCACAAACTATTGGGCTTCAGGTTTGCCCCTAAAGTATTACACTTAACATTACAATGAAATCTGTGGGACAATATATGGACCAGTACTAAAGAAGACCCAATTCATAAGAGTCCTCCCTGGACGGTTGCTGCATAGCTTGACATTTATGGGTATTTCATTGCTGCCTCAACATAAATTTCAATCAAATAGTTCTCATTACATTGTCTGGTCCATTTGTTAGTCTGGTCCAACAGAAAGTTCATTTCTTAGCAGTAGGAACTGACTGGTCTCTCAAGGGCACTTTTCCAATATGTCCGACACTATCAAAGTCTCCATCCAGCTTCCTGTTTTTTCCTCTTCCTTTGCCTTTTCCTCTCTTCACTCCATCTCCTCCTTTCCTTGGTTTTTCCTCAACTTCCTCTGGCTCTTCGTGGAAAAAACCTCCTTCATCACTGGAACTACTCTCTGACAAAGCAACTTCATTCTTAACCTTGATCTCTGGCCTTTGACCTCTGACCTTGCCTCGACCTCTACCTCTGCCTCGACCTTTCCCTCTACCTTTTGGCATTCCTAAAATTTCTTTTGCTCTTTGAATTCTGTCTTCATTTGTGGTAATTTGGGGTGTTTCATTGTGATATGCCCCTCTAACTTTCTTTAGGGCCTGTTTTACACGCTTACTGACCGTCTGCTTGGATTCCATGAAGTATTCTGGTTGAAAGAAGCTGTTGATTTTCGCCTGTGTCTGAAATATGACAACATAATTCACTTTGATGAAGCAATCTCATGTTGGGGTGCTTATATACTATACAGTAGAACATGGATATAGCGAACACGGATACAGCGAACACGGATACAGCGTACAAACGGATATAGCGAACAAATTTAAAAGTCCCGTCAGTAGTCCCTTATAATATCATTAAAATTATACGCGAATAACGAACTCGTGAGTAGCGAATTAACGGCTATAGCGAACTGATTTACTACTCCCAAGACCCAATTAACGACGTGATTAGCGAACTCACTCAGTGTCAGCTCAGTGTCAGCTCAGCCACTTAGCGGTATACATCAACCTTGTTGGCAGCGAATGAACATTGTTTGATGGTCATTAATTACAGTTACATGTATATACATGTATTGTTGAGATTGTTGTGATTGTTAAACATGTTCTAGCTAATGTCTGTGAATGATAAATTCAGAATTTTAATGTTATGTCAATGTACATGTACAAGAATAAAGATTTGTAGCCTCAGCATATACATGTCTCTACATCTCTACAATCCAAGATGGCGGTCAAATGTGAATAACGAACAACGGATATAGCGAACTAAATTTCTTGGTCCTTTGGAGTTCGTTATATCCGTGTTCTACTGTATATATATATATATATATATATATATATATATATATATATATACTTATATACTACTCCAAAACGTTACAGGACATGTTTTAGTTGATTGTTGTTAATTTGTGATTCCATGACAGATTAACTTTAGACACATGAAAAATAGCGGTGTTTCTACAATCAAGAATTGAACATGAATGTTGTATTCAAGGATCGAATAATGGATAGGCCTACCAAAATATGTCTGCTGGATATTTCCAGACAATAATAAGTTAGGTATGGTTATGGAAGGTACAACTTATATTTCAATCTGGTGACCACAAAAACTGATAATTGGCTATTACCAAATAGGGTGTGGTAATTTCAATTTGTTCCAAATCATTTATATCTGTATTTCTATTGGCCAGACCATGAGTATGATATATACCAGCTTCAAAAAAGTGTCAGTACTGTGATCAGAGCTACAAATAACTTTTTGGGTCATTGAGTTATGTAGTCGCTTGTGTTCATCTCAAGTTGGTATCCTAATTTTCGTTTGAGTAACCAAATAAAATTATACCCTCCTCACTCAAACTCAATTGGGTATTTTGCCACTTTCCATTATTTGTGAAAATAGAATATAGTTTAAATGTTGGTTTAAGCGTGCGTTATTCATATTTGATCGGTAATATGAGAAAAGATAAGAAGGAATGCAAGTTGCCAAGTTTATGTGCTGAAATAGAACCTCACAATATACCTCAGTTATTTTATCTATCCCCAGTAACCTCCATCTGTAGCACACAGCCTTAATGGTCTGTTTACTTCAAATTCTAGTACGTTTAGTGAATGTTACACTATGTAAGCTAATATTTGACATTTTTGTGTGTATGCATGTAAGATCACATTTATTGAGTATTTACCAAAATTCAAGCGTACTTGTACGCAATAGACTTAATAGGAATTGAGTTTTCACATAAATATTTGAGTAATTTATGCAGATATGCAGCTCATCTGTACGTCTGTGTGATGGTTGTATAATCAATTTATCAAACATTTACTGCTACTTATTAAAGAATCCAGCAAACTGATCAGATTAGTCAGTAGCCATCTTGTAGCATCTCTGGCCATGACGTCATTTTGGTCTACATAACATCACATGCTTGTCACATCCCAGTGGTAGAACCACTTTGTATAACCATATCCACCTGTCACTCACCTATACGTTACCGAAAACTTAAGTTCTGAGTGAGTGAGTTTAGTTTTATGCCACATGCAGCAATATCCCAACTATAGGGCGGCGGTCTGTAAATAATCGTGTGAGGACAAGACAATCCAGTGATCTTTTAATGATAAACGTGTTCACTATCAGATCAGCTGAAATTTCATGGACCTGGAGTGTTTTGTTGTACAAGCCTATTCAGCTTGTATCATCCTGTACACACTGATTGTGACACGTGTAACTCACCATCTTGTATCAATAGTATGTATTGTACGATACATATGACACAACAGACACATTAGACAAACAGAAGGATCATCTCTACCAAGTACAATCTTTGATTACACAATGCCATCTTCCTTGTTATAAACCATATTTTAGACAGAATTTGCCAACTGTAAAGCGTGTCTTGTTTGTCATGCAGTTGATGCAAAAAAATCTTTTCGTAAACTGACTGACTGACTGAGTTTGGTTTTACGCCGCTTTTAGCAATATTCCAGCAACATCACGGCGGGGGACACCAGAAATGGGCTTCACACATTGTACCCATGTGGGGATTCGAACCCGGGTCTCTTGGTGGACGAGTCAACGCTTTAACCATCAGGCTACCCCACCGCCCCTTTTCGTAAACAACTAAGTTTGCATTTGCACTTTGGTCGCGAGGCTAAAGACTAACAGTGGAATAACACCATACCTCCTTCTTGTTGAGCTGTTTGAGGACAGGCAACACGAGGTCATCTGCCTTGTCCTTGTTCCATCCCAACCTCTCCCTGGCATAACTGACAAAGTCAAGGATAGGTAAATTTACTATAATAAAAAAAATATAAAAATTTTAAAGTCAAAATATTATTTTATACTTATCCATACTCATATTAATTGCTTGTCTCACCTCTTCCCGAGTTAAAGTGGATTCTTTCGTTATGTTCACCAAAAACAGACAAAAAAATTCACCCAAACACACCCTTTCCTAGTGTACACCACATGACCGAGCCATTGAAAAAATGTCTTCTGTTATAATCCAAGCCATCCTATCTAAATTATAGACTTTTCACAACATCTTAGACCTGGAATATCCTTCCTTACTTTTGTTTCATCACATCTACTGGGCAAGCAAGTTGTATGATAAGTAAAAATAATGTAAAAATGTAACCTGCACATTTTGAGTGAGTGAGTTTAGTTTTTCACCGCTTTTAGCAATATTCCAGCAATATCATGGCGGGCCTTTCGCATGATGAGCGAATGCTTTAACCACTAGGCTAACCCACTACCATCGTTTGTGTCCTTGATGATGGTTATGTGGTAATGAAAGTAGGGTGTCACATAAGGATACTCTCTCAGAAGGTCAAGGTCAGGTGACCCCCAGGAGAACGTCTCGGCAGACTCGTCTACTGTTGGGTTGAGATATGCCTCCATGACAGCAGGATTGGGGAAACCTGTGCAAAGAAAACACAATAATAAACATCAACAACGTTTCAGTACAATAATAAACCAATGCAGTGGAAACATCTACCGTAATCAAACAACAACAACAAGCTATACAATAATACACTCAGTGTAATCGATCCGAAGCATTGATCTGCGCAAATTGGGAACCGGATGACATGTGTCAACCAAGGCAGCGAGCCTGACCACCCGATCCCGTTAGTCGCCTCTTACGACAAGCATGGGTTACAGAAGATCAATATTCTAACCCGGACCTTCACGGGTACCCTAATGTTAATAAAGTTCACCATGATGATATACTGAGGGAAAGAAATAAGGAACATTGCTTCATCACAGTGTTCCTAGGTTTATTCCCAGATTTTCACCCATAGTGCAATACAAAACTTGCGAAGAAACCTGGAAAAAAATAAAGGAGCACTTGATCTTTCATATGTTCCCTTATTTGTTTCCCTCAGTATATTATGCAGAGCCTCCGCAGACAGAGGACCAGAAATCCTGCCTGTATCGTAATGTACAGCGTGAGGTACTTACCCTCGTTAAACTCCATCTCCCGGATCTTGGTCCTGACTTTAGTTGTCATCGGCTTCTTGTCCTGTTGTCGAGACTCATCCCACCATGCCCTGCACACAGAGTGAGTGAGTGAGTGAGTGAGTGAGTGAGTGAGTGAGTGAGTGAGTGAGTGAGTGAGTGAGTGAGTGAGTGAGTGAGGAGTGAGTGAGTGAGTGAGTGAGTGAGTGAGTGAGTGAGTGGTGAGTGAGGAGTGAGTGAGTGAGTGAGTGAGTGAGTGAGTGAGTGAGTGAGTGAGTGAGTGAGTTAGTTTAGTGTTATGCCGGTTTAGCAATATTCCAGTCCCGAGGGGACACGAAATGGGAGTCACACAAAGTACCCATGTTGGGAATCGAGTTTCAGTGTGAGCAAACGCTTTAACCAATTTATCTACCAACAATGAATATACCAAGTAAACATTTAATTTTGGAGCCTTGGCAGTTTTTTTTCCACATTAATTCAAGAGGAACTCTATTTGTAATTCTAAACAGAAAATATGTTATTTTTTATATTACCCTATTCCTACTTTTTCTGAACAATTATTTGAAAGATTTATGTGTAATATCATGGCTGACACCAAAATGGGCTTCACACATTGTACCCATGTGTGGAATCGAACCCAGGTCTTCGGCGTGACGAGCGAACACTTTAACCACTAGGCTACCCCATCGCCTCCTAAACAAGGGAGGAAGGTAGAACAAGTAGAAGGCAAAACAAACTGTGTTGCCATACAAGCTCACACACTGTATTTTAATATTCATACATTAACATGTTAACTCACATACCAGGGAAAAAAATCTTATAACTTATTTTAATGTTGAGCAATATAATATGATGGAAATTCACACTCTTTCATTGCTATGGAAACAAATCAGACAGAGTTTACCCTTCAGGTATTAAACACATCGTTGTTGGAGGAGGGTTTTATAAAACAAGTCTATCATGCCTACTTGAGTGCCAGAAGGCCGTCGATGTTGTGGCCAGGGAACTCCCCTAGGATCTCCAGAGCAGTGACTGGCCCCACCCCCTGGAAGCCCTCAGTGTAGTCACTCCCACACAGGTAGGCCAGCAAGATCAGCTGCTCCCTGTCTAGACCTGGAACATTCGGAGGGTGTAACATACGGAGGTATGTAACATACAGAGGGTGTAACATACAGAGGTAACACGCAGATGTCAAATCATACAAAGGTCACATACTGAAGTCACAAGTCTCCCTGTCAAGACCTCTAGCATACAGAGGTTGTATCATACGGAAATCATAACAAACAGGTCATAACAGAGGACTTATCATACAGAGGTCAGATATACAGAGGACTTATCATACAGAGGTCAGATATACAGAGAACTTATCATACAGAGGTCAGATATACAGAGGTCTTAACACACAGAGGCTGTATCATATGGAGGTCAAAACATACAGGTTTTAACAGATTGAGGTCTTAACATACAGAGTTTGTTAAAATACAGTAGTTTAGCATATAAGGGTTGAAACAGGCAATAACTTAACATTGAAGTTGTAACATAGACTGATGTAGCATACATAGCTCGATACAAAGCAGAGGTTGTAACACATACAGGTTGCTTCCTTCAGAGGTAGTTTCAGAGGTCATAACATACTGAGATCATAACATACGGAGGTTGCTTCAAACCAGGTCACAAGACACTGAGGTCGTATCATACTGAGGTCACAACATACAGGTCACTTCACACCGAGGTCAGGTCAAACCTGAGGTCGCTTCAAATCAGGTCACTAGACACTGAGGTCGTATCATACTGAGGTCACAACATACGGAGGTCACTTCAAACCGAGGTCACAAGACACTGAGGTCGTATCATACTGAGGTCACAACATACGGAGGTCGCTTCAAATCGAGGTCACAAGACACTGAGGTCGTATCATACTGAGGTCACAACATACGGAGGTCGCTTCAAATCCAGGTCACAAGACACTGAGGTCGTATCATACTGAGGTCACAACATCACAAGGAGGTCAGATCTTCAAACATAGGCCAAGTCACAAGACACTGAGGTCGATCATACAGGTCACAAATATACGTCACAAGACACTGAGGTCATCATACTGAGGTCACAACATACGGAGGTCACTTCAAACCGAGGTCACAAGACACTGAGGTCACAAGACAACATGAGGTCATATCATACTGAGGTTCAAAAGGTCATAAGACACTGAGGTCATACTGAGGTCATACATAGAGGTTGTAACATGCAAAGATCCCAACACACAGACATACCGAGGTACATGCAGAGTTATAATATTGATGTTGTAATCTAGTTCTAGCATCTAGTTCCAGCAGGAATAGCAAGTTTGACACAAGGAGTGTTAGAAATAAGGTTTTGTTCAGATACATCCTTTCAGAACTAGTGTAAACTGGAGCAGTGGGTAGCCTAGTGGTTAAAGTGTTTGCGCACGTCAAGCTGAAGACTCTGGTTCGATTCCCCACATGGGTACAATGTGTGAAGCCCATTTCTGGTGTCCCCCGCCGTGATATTGCTGGAATATTGCTAGAAGTGGCGTAAAACCATACTCACTGGTGTAAACCTTATTTTACTGGCCCCCAGAGAGTGTACCTGATCCAACTTGAAGAAGACAAAGATGTTTACATTTTCTGTCAGTTTTATCAACAAAGAAAGCCAAAGAAATCATCAGAATGCTATCTAACAACAGAATGTGTATGCATTTTACACAGAAATAGCAAATACCCAGCAACACTCACCAAATTTAGCCTGGATGCCAGAAAAGTTGTAGAACTCAACAGACTTCTTCTGATTGAAGAAGTGTTTGTAGACCCTGCTGCCCCCGAACAGCCAGACGTCACTGTCGTCGGTGATGGTTCCGTGTGTCAGCCCCAGCATGTCCAGCTTGGCACACTGGGCTTCTGCCTCCATCGGACTTACAACGTAGGGGATCCCAAACAGCTCAAGCAGTTCCTGCAGAGGTGAGGTGAAATTGGGTTTTATGTCACTGCTTGAGAATATTTCGCTCATATGACGATGTGCATGCATGTGTATGTGTATGTGCGGCTGCTTGTACTAGCCCAGACTTAAGCTGGTTTTATAGTGCTAGCCCACTGAGATACCATGCCGCAGTGAAGCATGAATACCCCACTCAGACACATTATACTGACTCCGAGCTGACCAGTCCTTGTTGTACCCATTAATGCCGAGCACCAGGCAGGGACCAACAAGTACCATATTTTAACATCTTTTTGGTATGACGCGGTCGGGATCAACCCGCGACCTTCTGCTCTCCGGGCGGACGCTCTAACCACTACACCACGGAGGCGGTCCAGTTCCTGCAGAAGACGACAGACTCACTGCTCAGGACATCCCAAACAACCTGAGCAGCTCAGGTTGCCCTTCACACAGCTCCAGAAATTACACTTAGGGCTTATATAAATTATCATAACTATATATCATTAAAGTTTGTGTTATGTAAAGACATCTACAGCAAGATTTAACAAACCAAAATCATTTTTGTTGTTTTATTATCCTTTTCACTATTCAGTGCAGAATCTCAGTGAAAGTAGTCCTTTCCAGGGGCGGATCCCGGATTTTGGAGAAGGGGGGTGCATATAGATCATGAAGTCCAAAGGTTAGGGGACAATGCTCCTCAGGGAACAAAGTTTCGTGGGATAAGGGGGTTGCCCACCCCTGCAAACCATCCCCCCCTCCCTAACCCTCCCTCTCTCTCTCTCTCTGTGGATCCACCCCTGCTTTCAAGCTGACCTACCTGTGCCTCCACATTCATCTGGTCTGAGATTGAAGTTGCCAGCCGCTCCTGACGTCCCCGTTCAGCTCGTAGGGTCTCACTCTCATTCTCCAGCTCATCCTGCATATCCTCCAAGTCAACCTATAGCAGACAAGTGATCTCTGGACACAGACTGCAGCAACCATAAAGGGACACTACTGTTGGGCTTTGGAAACCTTTCACCCTGAACTACAACTCTCTCTATTGTCATTTGGGTTGAGATATGTAGATTTGGATCAGGTATTGCAAGATTACCTCCCTTACACTGATTACACTTTGGTATACCCTAAACACAACGGCATTATGATTCAATGCACTGCAGTGATCAAAGTAGTGCTTAATTTACATGCCATAGCACGGTAAATATTGAAATGGCACAGATGAAATAATTTCAATATGCCCTGGCAGCACACTTAAAATTATACTCACCATGATTCATTTAATGGAAATTCAAAAAATTTGACCAGTTGAAATTGTTCAAAACCTATTTTTCACCCCATAAAACTATTCATCGGTGGATTATTGAATAGCAGTGCACATGACAGGAAATCCTGTTTCGGTTGATAACAAAGTTTATGGTTAGTTTCTGGGTCCACTACAAATGAAGCCGAGCTGTTCTTGCAGTCATGATAATGTTCAGGAAATCCAGCAATCAACTTCACAGGTTTACGTGATGTTTTCTGATTTATTAACCATAATTTGAAATGACATTGTTAATTGCTAAAATGAACTGGATCATCAAAAGGTATGGGCACCCTGTTGCCCTATGTAACCCTTTGAAAAAATGGCACTTCTAACCCTGACTGTCTACACTGCTTCTGGTTTATACGAGTCTCAACATGGTGGGGTTGTGAACTCGGATGACTTGACCATAGGCATCATCTGTAACGTCATACACAACAACAACTCAAAACCCCAGTACCTTCATGCAACACCACCACAGTTTACCAAAATGAGACCAACTTACTGCAGACATTCCCTTGAACTCTTCAGATGGTCCGTGTGTGACAGTGCTGGCTTCCTCGTCACTAGGGGTGCCACCTCAGCCTCAGTTTCACTCACGTCCAGCTGGTAGTCCCCAATATTGAACTCATGGTAAACTTGTGACTTCACATCCTCAGTAGCGACCTTGTCAGCATCTAACTGTTCCGGTGTCTTCTTGTTGGGAATGTTTTCAGTTGACACAGTGACAGGTATTTTGTCTGTGCTGCCAGTACTTTCTGTGACTGTGTCCAGGACATGTGACGCAGCAGGTTCTGTGTTAGATGTGGGAGTAGTTGTGTGGAACATATCAGACGGGAACAAGTCGTCGTCTGCTGCTGCAGCTGGGTCTATGGTTATCTCAATAAACCCTTCATCATCATCTGGGGGAGAATACATAGAGTTAGCGAGTTTAGTTTTACGCCAATTTTAGCAATATTTCAGCAATATCACAGCTTGGACACCAAAAATGGACTTCACACATTGCACCCATGTGGGGAATCGAACCTGGGTCTTTGGCGTGATGAGCAAGTGCTTTAACTACTAGGCTATCCCACCATGCCGAAAATAATAGAAGATACTGACTGACTGACTGATTTTAGTTTTACGCCACTTCTAGCAATATTCCAGCTGACAGCATTATGATCCAGGTAAAACTGATAGCATAGAAAATTCCAATTTTCACGCATTGAAAAAATAATTGTTGCATACCATTTTTAGACGCATTTAAAAATAATTGTTACATCGCATAAAAAGTTTACAACAAATGCATTACAGAGTATATTTATAAAATCGGTAGGGTAATGAAAAGACATCGATTGCTATCAAGTTGTACTGTTAGCATAGGACAAGTATTGTATTTTTGTCAGTATAGGATGAGTGATTTTTTATGAAATTATTTCCATTATATTTAAGTTGGTTTTGATTAGGTATGATATAAGGCAGAACATACCTGCTTAGTAAACTTACTCAATGACGTCATACTTAGGTGAGTGAAATGACTGAAATACGCACATATTTGAAAGCAGTGGGTAACGGAAAATTAAATACAAACTCAACATTCATAATACCCACTCCAAAAAAATGCAGTGGGTACAGTACCCACATGACCTAATTCTTATCTGGAGCTCTGGGCCTAGATTTTCGAAGCTCTCTTAGTGCTAAGATAGTCATAAGTTAATGTTAATGTATGGCACTTACCACTATCTTAGTGCTAAGAGAGCTTCGAAAATCTAGGCCCTGGTGCATAAGATTACATAATCGACATATGGTACAACTGGGACAAGTTAGCTATAAAATGGCCACAAAATAACGGCTAAAGGTGTTTTACCATACCAGAGTCAGATTCCTGCTGGGTCTGTGGCTTATCCTCGGGTTCACTCCTTGCACTGACATCTGTAACCTTCACATCAGCAGCCAACTTAGACATCTTGGTTTTCTCAACTTCACCTTCCTCCGTTTCGACCTTCCTCTTCATACTGTGACCCTTGTCGACATGACCTGGTTCCCCACTCCCATCCTCAATAATCACAACTTCCGACCCAGCAACCGAGTCACGTTTTGAGTCGTCTGTCACATCTTTCTCCACTTTAGTTATTTTTACATCATCACTTTCAGAAGAACTTCCCACACTTACCACATCTTTTGAACCAGCACCTTTATCATTTTCAAAAATATCTGGACCAATATTAATGCAACAGTCATTTTCCCGAGAATTTTCAGCTGCCTTGGAATTATAATTTTTCTCCTTGTCACTATCGATCAACAACTCATCGGGCTCTTCCAGCATCTTTTTCTCCTCCTCCGTCACAACATTCGCCACAGCATCAGCATCAACGTTGGTGACGACATCCTCACATCGGGATGCCTGTTCTACTTGCCGTTGTTTGCTGAGGCCTTTGATTAGTATATAATGAGAGGCATCTTCTGACACCACACGACGAGACTCAAACTCTCCCGCCAGGTATTCGCTTCCAACAGCCTGAGAAAAGTCAGCACTGGTTTGGGCGTTCATCTCTCTACGGACGGATTCAATATGGTTGGTCAGTCGGCTCTGGTTAACAAGCTTCTTCATTTGGTAGGAAGAAAAGTCATCAGAATTCTGGAATAATAACAATAATACTGACTGACTGGCAGAACATACTAGTGAATATGAAACCTGATGCTATGTAAATTTGAAAACAAAAATTTGTTTCAAATATATCAAAACATTAGACCATGTCGGTCTGAACTGACTGACTGAGTTTGGTTTTACGCCTCTTTTAGCAATATTCCAGCAATATCATGGCGGGGGACACCAGAAATGGGCTTCACTCATTGTACCCATGTGGGGATTCGAACCAGGGTCTTAGGCGAGATGAGCCAACTCTTTAACCACTAGACTACCCCACCGCCCCAATAACAATAATAATAACAATGATAATGATCACAGTAATAATGATAATAATCATTATATATTAATTATAATCGTTAATGAAGTGTCCGATCAGGAGTGTGGTCGGGTTCTCATTTTAAGGTAATATTATATAAGGTGGGTCTCAAGGGGCCGACTTGACAGGTTAACCGTCAACAACAACATCCAGGTCTACCTCCACAATCGTTGCTGCATTTGTCTCAAGATAAGGATTAACCGTCGAGGCTTAACTCTTTAGGTTCCCGGCCCCTGAAAGACCTAATAATACTGCAGGTATGTCTTATGCAACAACATTAGAGTTATTTCCCCCTAGATCTGTTTCATTCAGAAAATATTGTAACTATCAGGAAATGGCATCCTACATCAGAAATCTGAGATAAATATCATGATAACAGGTTGCCGTTGTTCACAGTGATCTTAGCGCTAAGGTGACCATCACTCAACAACATAGGCATACAACAGTCCTAACGCTAAATTTGTTCTCAACGGTGGCACCCTGTCCTGATATTTGAGGGGGGAATATAAGAAATGTACCTTACATTTTAGTGGCGTACATTGAAAATACTAGGGTGGGTCTCAACCAATCAAAATCTGACATTCATGTACGAGGTAAGATAACGTAACTAAGATGCATCATATCCATCCAGGATATTAAGAACGGAGAAGGCTGTAAACACCATCGATTGAGTTCTATAGCATCAGTCTGTACCTCAGGCAGAGGCACTCTCTTGCCGAGCCGTCGTCTCTTCCTCATCTCCTTCATCTCGGTGAGAATCTCGTGCTTGATCTCCGACGGCAGGGAGCGGAAGTCATCCGACTCTACGTCAATGCTGTCCAGAGACTGGAACTCCTCCTGGAGATTAAACACGGGAAGGTTGGGTTTTTGCAAATAGAACAGATGCTGATATAAGCTCCGATGATCCAAATATGCTTGGGTTTTTTACTTTAATTCTTTTCATTCGTGTCAGAGGTTACATTGTGTTTTACGGGTTATATGTTAAGAAATCCTAGGATATATGGTGTGGCCACAAACAATAATAATAAGTCTTTATGATCATTTGTGTAAGATACTTCTTGAAACAAAGACTTGGCTAAATAGGTCAAATAGATCAGAACATTTAGAAAGAAAAGTCTTAGTGGGTCAGTGGTTGATTGAGTGAGCGAGTAAGCAAGTGAGTGAGTCACTGAGTGGGTGGGCCGGTGGTTGAGTGGGTGGTTTGAGTGAGTGGTTAGGGTGGAGTGGTGAGTGAGTGAGTGAGTGAGTGAGTGAGTGGTTGAGTGAGTGAGTGAGTTTAACACCACTTGAACAGTATTCCTGTTACATCCTGCAGTGTCAGCTGTGGGGAAGGCCTAAAGTTATGCAAGTCTTTGGGGTTGATCACATTGGTGAAGCCTAAGAGCACAAGAATGGTGCTTTCAAACCTAAATCATAATCAGGAGAACCCAGATGCGAATCCACAATCTTAAGTTTCCCGGGCCTGCCCAAGGGACCCAACACTGCACTGTGAAACAGCACATTAGGCAACTGGCCAATAGAGGCCCTCAATAGCGGGAGGAAAGTACGAAGTGATGTGATGTAGGTCTTAGGTGTGTACTCACATGCACACGTGCTGACCGATCAAGAACCATGATTATGCCAAATCTGATGTTCTGATGTTCTCCGCCACGACATTGCTGGAACATTTCTAAAAGCGTAAACCTTCACTCACTCACTCACTCACTCACTCGCAAGTGGCACAAGCCAGGGGTGGATGTTAAGGGCAACAAATAACCCATCCATGATACTCAATGTGCCACGTCACCATGGTTACAGCTAAGAATGGTATTTGTCTTTCCAGATGTTCACAGATCCATGAAGTATTTTCCCTGCCACTCATATACTGACACCTGATGTGACAACCATGGGATGCTAGGCATCCACGACTAAAATAACCACTGTCCACCACCACCACCATCAACAACAATACCTCCACTATCCTCTGGTGCAATTGTCTCTCCTCCCATGGATCAACATCATCACCATCATCATAGTTTAAGCCACCTGTTGTCCTGAAACAGAATCCTTCACATAAAAATAAGGACCGAAGTTTAAGAACAAACTTTCAACATGGCTCTGGTTCAAAGAACAGACAGTGATACTTAAGTTGAAAACTTTTAATAAAATTTTGAAACAGAAATATACATGCAATACATCCAGCCATAATCTCACGCTACAGATCAGCACAAAGTATCGTTATATGAACCTGTATAAAACATTTAGATCTCTTCTGAAAGTTCACCTCAGCTTGTTACAACGTAATGCAAACAAAGAAGTTAAAATCCTTCTAAAACTGAAGATTACCACATCATTATGTCTTACTCTACATTGCATTCCTGTAGTTTTGTTTGGTTTTCTTTGTTTTTGTTTAAATTTTTTTTTTTTTTTTTTAATTTAATTTAAAGTTTATTTCTGAATCCCTGTTACAGTCAAACTAAGCAGCCAGGGGACAGCTCAGTCCGAAGATATACAGTAATTTAATAGGATACAGGTGGCAATTTTACTGAAACAAGACAATCCATTTACTCATCATTCACACATACAAGATTAATTTTAATTATCAAACATATTAGGAATATAATTAATTCAGTCGCCTTTGAATAAGACATGACATAAGAGCCATTTCTCGAATAAAATTCATCGTTACAGCTTTTGTTAAAGACAATACATTTTTCAATACTATATCTCAATCTCAACTCACTTCTGAACTGCGCGCAATATTTGGTAAAACAGAATTGAGCTTGCATTTGTTCAAGTAATATTTTCCCAATAATATGAACAAGTCAAAAACAGAGTCAGTAAAATATTTTTCGAACAGCCCAAAATTATCAGTTCCATAGTGAGATTGAGATCATGGATGTGGTCACAACCTTCTGTTAACCATGATAAAAAAATTTGACCAAAAGGTTTGCACAAATTCACATTCCCATAACAAGTGACAAATAGATTCCTTTTCTTCATTACAGAATGAACATAAGTCAGAATCTTTTTATTCTAAGTTTTTGAAGAAATGTATTGGTAGTTAAAATTCTATGGAGTATCCTGTACTGGAACCATCTCAATTTGGTGTCTTGTGTTGATTTAAACGATTTTAGGAAAATACAGTTCCAGTCAAGACCACACTGAAAATCCTCTTGCCTCTTTAACTGTGCTCTTGGTGTTTTATTTGAGGTGAGGTGAGGTGAAATTGGGTTAAACGTCGTTAGCTTGAGAATATTACTTAAGTTGAAAACTTTTAATAAATTTTGAAACAAAAATATACATGCAATACATCCAGCCATAATCTCGCTACAGATCAACACAAAGTATTGTTATATGAACCTGTAAAGCTATAAACCGTATAATGAAATGTATGAACCTTAAGTATCAGAAGTAACAGACAAAGCAGGAGTGATTATTTTTAGTTTCAGTATTTTTAGTTTCAGATCAATAGGCTGTGCTTACAACTACCGATGCTTCCTGAAACTTACAGTAGTTCTTCAACAGTACCATGCAGAGTAATGATCAACAGATATCATCAAGATGAGGCATATAAAACTTACTCCCTGTCCATCTCTGGCAAGGGAGGTAACTCAAACAGGTCCCTTCCCCTCCCTGAAGACCTGACAGCAGCTAGCCCTGAGTTGGTGCTGCCCTCTGTTGGCTGTCCAAGGGCATGCTTGATGGCTTCACTGCGGATGAGGTTGTGCAGCAGTTTCTTGGTAGCCTTGTCCCCTTCCTGTTCAGCCTCCGCCCTCCTCTCTCGTCTCGCAGCCTGAAAGTTTAACATGACAATAACATACAGCAGACCTTCCTTGAGACTGTCAAACAAGAAGGGGACGTGGCTAGCTTGGCCAAATTGATAATGACCATTCATTAATGATTATTTTGTCTTCTGTGAGTTCTAACACTCAGATATAGGACTGTACAGGCAAAACATTTTTATTGCAATACAGGTATCCGAATCGCCATACGTGTTGCAATATACCATATATAGGGCTCCAGATAATTTTTTTCAACATCAGGAGTTCATACTCCTTATTTTTTCAATATAGGGAGTACTGGAAAAACTTAAGAGTACTGAATGGAAATTAGTAATCAGTAATCTTGTGTTTCTGTGTCATATATGCACCACAACATTGCTACTCTTGTGTAAACAGGTCAATAAACAATAAAACAATACTTTTTCATATAAATATGTCTGTAAATGATTAAGTACACCATTGCTGTGGTGCGTATCTGCTAGTTTTCAAAATTATTTCCTACCCAGTATCATGCATATTTTTCATCCGTACATACGGGCTTATCTGGAGCCCCTGCGTATATTACCGTAGATAAGCTGACCCCATAGATAAGCCGACCCCTAACTTGACCCTTAAAATCAGTGTCAAAATGGTATGTTTCGCACATAAGCCGACCCCCCACAATGGGTCGCGGCCAACTCACACCACAAGACATCTGGCAGTTACCGTCTTGGATGTAAAACGTAAGTATGTTTGGTGAGATTTGTATCTAATAAAGATTATACTGACAATTATTCTCGAAACCTGTGTTTGTTTTCCTTTTTATATCCCAACGATCAAACGATGTTTGTATGTATCAACAACGAGATGCCATTTTGTGAAATCGGTGCATATAGAAATTTGAACCCATGAGTAAATGTACTCACAGTAAAAATAACTGAAGTCATTTATGATTCAAAACATTATATTATTTTGTCTGTGTTGACAGTAATACAGAATAGTAATAATAATAATTACAATAACATGAACATTCCATGTACATCTATGCATAAGGGCAGGTTTGATTGTAGTGTGCGATGTAATTTACAAATCTTCAACAGTAAAGCCATGAAATTCAGTTTTTGCTGTCTTTGCCAGTCAGTGTCGGCCATGCCAATTCATTCGTCTCGCCATTGTAATAGTCCTCAAGATCCTCACAGCCAAGGGCATCTTCTTCATCAGGTTCTTGAACCATTTGTTATGAACTCATCAAACAATGCATCGCTCTGCAATCCGTCCATTGCATTTGAAATGCCACACTTGAACAAATTCACAATCATGTCCTTTTGGGATCTCATCCCACGATTCTTTGACCCATCTTGCCACTTCAGGTAGAGGAGCTCTCCTCATTGCAATAGATTTAGTGAAAGTATGCTCACCATCCACTCTGACCACATTTTTTGAATGTTCATCTTGAAGGGCTTGTTCAAGGAGACGCCTCTAGTGGTTGAAGAAGTGATGTACATCCACCAAGTATAACGGCTTGATGTGTCTCCACTAAGTTCTTTTCACTGACGAACACAAATGGGCCCTGAACCTATCCCAAACAAGAAGGTACTTGAATCCTCGGATATCACCTGGTCTCACAGACCACACATTCTCAATCCATTTATTCACCAAAGTCTCATCCATCCCTTTGGGATGTACCGACACAATAACCTCTGGCGGAAATTTCTCCTTTGGCATTGTCTTCCTTTTAAACACAATCATAGGCTTCAGTTTTGTCCAATCCGCCATACATGTAAGCACTACGGTGAAATGTTGTTTTTCATTTCCAGTTGTCTTCACCGATATCGTCTTTGATCCCTTCACATCCACGGTCTTGGAACCAGGCATATCAAAACTCAGCAGAGTTTCATCCATGTTCCCAATCAGGGGTGGAAATAACCCATTGCCCTGAGCGTACCGACGCCTGGCCTTCGGCGCTCCGACACCCGAGTCCAGTGTTTTTTCTGTCGGGCAAGCAAATTTGTATATCACACTGTACTGGTGTCCAGTTGATATTCCAATGTTAATTATGTTGTTTATTTAAAAATCAACAAGAAAATGGCCGATATAGTGGAAAAATTATCAGGGCAAGTGGTTTTACATGTGCCACTGTACAGGAGTACACTAGCAATTTTAAAGTTATTTCCACCCCTGCCAATCTCGCGATAGGTCGTAGTTGATTGCTTTTCGTTCTTTAATCTCAAATGCATAGAATAAATCCACTTTAGTGTTCACTTGATCAGGAAGTTTCTGCACAATATGTGTCCTCTCCCTCAGGGCCCGATTGCTCCTGTTCATGAAACGTGAGCACCAAGTTGAAGACGCTTTAAATGATGCGAGGGCAAGCCTAATTCTTCCTTCTTCGATTTTTGTACATGGTCAGTGCTCGGTGATCTAATCATATTCCTTGTGACGATTAAGCCAAGTTGTCTCTTTTCCAAAATCTACTTACTCGCAAGGATGTCTTCAAGCTTAACAAAGGGGATACAGTAAATAGCCTTGCTCTCTTGTTCTTAGGCATCTCATTTAATGTTGCCTTTTCTTTCCTCCAGCTCCTGACTTGCCTCTCGTTGATGTCAAACTCTCATGCAGGTATCAGGAGCTGTGTGAAAGAGTGAAAGTGACTGACAATGATTGCTCATGAAGGTCATTGGGGTAGCCTTAGTGCGTTAAAGCTTTTAAATTTCGTCACACTTAAGACCTGGGTTTGATTCCCCACATTGGGGCAATGTGTGAAGCCCATTTCTGATGTCGCCAGCTGTGATATTGCTGGAATATTGCTGAAAGCAGGGCTGGCAATATAACCGGGTTTACCGGTATTTAACGGTTCAGACATGAAAACGATACATATTATCAATACGCTGATCGAAAACCGGTATTTTGACATGCATTCAGAAAAGTTCATAACACTCGGAAATCTTCGGATATTTCCATTGTTTAATTTGTTCCTTTCCTTGTTTCATTTGTTCCAAACAATTTGCATTTTTATTTTCTCATGATTCAAAGTTTTTATTAAAGCCTAATCAAGCATAGTGATTTTGTTGTGTTTTTGCTCTGTAAATAATTATAAGCAGTTTTTGTTAAAAATATTCTTGCAATATATTGCAATACATATCACAATATATGCTTTCTCGTGATCGTAACATATATCGCTATATGAAAATTCTCGGCAATACCCAACCCTTGCTGAAAGTAGTCTTAAACCATACTCATTTTCTCGTTGTTCACGAAGATCCAATTTCTACATACTGAAGTAAATAGTACTCAGCACAATCCATTGCAGTCACTTTGTAGTCATGGATACAGGGGAGATAACAACATGGGAGAATAATCACTTCCACAATGACACCTTTTGTCAATTTATTTCAGTGGGGACGCCTCCGTGTTGTAGTGGTTAGAGCGTCCGCCGGAGAGGAGAAGGTCGCTGGTTCGATCCCCGGCCGTCATACCAAAAGGCGTTAAAATATGGTACTTGTTGGTCCCTGCCTGGCTCTGCATTAATGGGTACAACAAGGACTGGTCGGCTCGAGTCAGTATAATGTGTCTGAGTGGGGTATTCATGCTTCACTGCGGCATGGTATCTCAGTGAGCTAGCTAGCACTGTAAAACCAGCTTCAGTCTCGGCTGGTACAAGCAGCCGCGCAGCCTACACATATACCTGCGCATACACGTAGGTCATATGAGCGAAATATTCTCAAGCACGGCAGTAAACCCAATTTCACCTCACTTTACCTATTTCAGTGGGAAATACAATTTGTGAATGAATTTCTGCAGTTTCTGTATTAAAGGATACACCTAATGACAATAATTGTTACAGTTACCTAGCACACAAGAACACAGAAAAAATATTTCATACACGTAATACTAAAATAAGTTGTGCATGTTACTCTTCACCAGTTGGTGATAATTTTCCACGACTGATTTGTATGAGAACACTGTAACATCCCTGATTATACCCTTGTTAGGTGGTTTATATACATAGAGTGGCCTAATTAATTTAAATTGAAAAATATTGTTGCAAGCAACGATGAGGGGTCCTTGGCTTTAGTTCTATCTATTGTATTTCAGGGCAAGAAATCATCGTCCAAAACCGAGCCAGAACACGTTTTTTTTACAGGCGAAATGGATCTTCCAAATACAGCCTGGGACGGCGGGGGTCATGTACCTTTAAGAAGTTCTGGAGAAGAAATAGTTCCCTCTTTAAAAGGCTGTATCTCAGTTGTTCTTGGGTCTACTGTCAAACCAATTAGTGTTCTGGAATCACCATGACTTCATCTACCATACTGGCAGATACTTTTGTGCAGAATTTGCACAATGGTTACTGGACATCAGTTATGGAAAGTTTGGAATGTCTAGAGCTGATGGTTGGAGCTCAGGGTGCCGTTGTACAAAACAATCTTAACGCTAAGACTGTCGTAAGTCTATGTTGAGGTATGGGACATACGATCACTTTAGTGCTAAGATTGCTTTGTACAATGGCACCCAGCACATTTTGGGAGCAAACTACTCAGAAAACTGCTGAAAAACATGGCCAAAAACTGAAAACAAAAATAACTGCCAAACGGTACGTTTTAGCGACTTGACCCGTCCAAGCAAATTGTTGGGAATTCGATTGTGCATCTGTACAAGAGATTTGGAAGTGTTGGAACAATTAGTTCTTGAGATATTTGCTGTCAAACTTTGATATTTTGGAATTAAGTTTGAATTATCTCCCCTTTGCTATTGGGCCTAGAGCCTAGAGATTTTTAAGGGGAATATCTACACCTCGGTGCGCATCTGTGTGATTTTTTGTAAGCGATTCTCAGCATTGGTTTAGGAGTTATGTTTGGTACAAAAATCGGCAGAATAATAAATAGTAATAATAATAATCCGAACGATTACAATAGGTCTCCTGCCTAGAGGCAAGGAGCCCTAAAAATACTGACTACAATAATAAAAGAAACAAAAGAAATATTGATATATATTTCCATTTGTCTAGAGTAATCAGTAAAGCTATGTGAAATTAAGTATTGATAAATTGTTCAGATATATGTTATAAACTATAACTGCTTGTGTACTGCCATTTGTGATCTTCGAGAATGAAATAAAGTGGAGAAATGAAGTTTACCAGTGTCTGTTTCTTGAGTATGGGAACGCCACCGTCAAACACAAACACTGGCTTGATCTTGTAGAAGAGGAGTTTACACACACGGCTGAACAAACTCTGGAGGTGGGCGTTGGGCAGTGGGTTGCCATCCTTGTCTCGCATCCCCTTCGCTGCCTGGTGCAGCCAAATACTCACATCTTCTGAGTTAAGGTGCAAATTTAAGTTGACAATGATAATATTCTGACAAACGAGGTTAAAAGACGATAAGAGTAACGTTAGTTTCTGACACTGATTGTGATATCAAAGGAAACAGTCTAGTGTAGGTTTATCAACATGCAAGATCTGGATATCTCAGAGGATGAAACAGTCTACAACAATAACAGTGGCAAAATATCTGGTAGTTGGTTCCTTGTTTAATGTAGCACTCAGCAATATATAAGCAATATGGCCGAAGTCTGTAAATAATCAAGTCTGGACCACAATCCAGTGATCGACATCATGGCCATTGATCTATGCACATGGGATCCCATGAGTGAGTGAGTGAGTTTAGTTTTACGCCGCACTCAGCAATATCCCAGCTATATGGCGGCGGTCTGTAAATAATCGAGTCTGGACCAGACAATCCAGTGATCAACAGCATTAGCATCGATCTGCGCAATTGGGAACCAATGACATGTGTCAGCCAAGTCAGCGAAACTGACCACCCGATCCCGTTAGTCGCCTCTTACGACAAGCATAGTCGCCTTTTATGGCAAGCACATGGGTTGCTGAAGACCTATTCTACCCCGGATCTTCACGGGTCGGATCCCATGACATGTGTCAACCAAGTTAGCGAATGTGACCACCTGATCCTGTTGCTGAAGACCAATTCTAACCCGGGCAGATCTTTACAGGTAGGCAAAATGAACACATAAACTGTTTTTTGCAGACGTAAAGCTCACTCTGTTGGCAGAAGCTAAACCAAAAACATTTGTCTTAAATGCAGATTTCAGACCTGTTAAGAAAGTATGCAACATATGAATAAGCAAGGCTGATCTCAAGACTGTACGTAATTTGCATCCAGTCTAATTGTTATTACAGGATACCGACTGCCAATATCTTCCCCTCCAGGGACTCGAGCGACACCGGCTTCCCTGCTGCCTGGAGGAGCTGCCATAAACCTTGAACTCCCATGATGCCTCAGTGACGTCGTCTACAAGATCTACAAATAGAAAATGTTGACGATAGACAGAAGAGTAGGGGGAGTTGCAAAGTCCCACGACCTTCCATGTCATCCTGTCGACCAGATCTACAAACAGAAACATTTAAGACTGAAAACATGGAGCAAGGGGCCAAATCTGAATAAAGTATAATTTCACTCAACATTAAAAAATAGAAACTATTATTTTTTATCATCATAACTGTCCCTTTTTCTATTGTTGAGTATCATGGGACCCTCTGATATCAGGGTAGTTAAAGGTCACATGCAACAAAAGAATCAAACATAATTAAAACACAATTATCACTTATTCATGACATATAATATACATTGCTGATTATGAAAAAACAATGCTTAACGAAAAATGAGCATGTATTTACAAAACCCAACATCTCTATATATACACACACAATGAGCCATGAAATTATAAGCGTACAATCGCAAATCAAAAGTGCAATATTTTGTACTTGGGTTTACTTCCCAAGAAACGAAGCAGCCGGGATACCGAACCCAGTCAGAGTGGGTGGGTGTGCACTCAAGTGTAACGGCTGGTTCATTTGCAGATGCCCTCATGGCTCATTGTGTGTGTATATATAGAGATGTTGGGTTTTGTAAATACATGCTCATTTTTCGTGTATAACATTTTGCAATCAACAGACATCATAACATGTCATGTGTACAAGTATCATACCTGCCTGTCTGTGTAATTACATAATGTGACAGAGACCGAACTCGGGCCATAAATCAATGCGTTTTGTTTATGGTGTACAGCCTGATAGGTGTTAAGTTCAAATTGCATGTGGTCAGTGATCGAAGTCGTGTATTGAATATTGTCATTAGCAGACAGGCAGGCAGACACATAGGTGTCAATAAAACAGACATTGAGTTTTGTCTGTGACAAAGGCATATCTATATCACAGTTAGAAATTCTGACAATGTTAAATAATGACGTTGATGTTAAATATTGAACTGAGAAAGTGACTCGTTAAGAAGAACGTGTGGTGAAATAGACAAGGGCTTGGGGAAAATTAGTGAATCGTTTGAACTCCGATTTTTTCAAAGACGTTATGAAGTGGTTTTTTGCATCGCGTTATTGTTCAACTTTATCAGTTGAATTTGCATTTTGATGATTTGTTTTTTTTCGGTAAGTCCATACTGAAAGGTATCAGAATCTGCAAAGTTGTGTTTTAATCTTGCATGCATGACCTTTAATGTTGTCGCCATCGGGATTATGAACGCCTACTGACATTTGGCATTTTTTATATATTTTCAGTTGACTGATGTGTAATCTTCATTTCTGTCACAAATAGTATGGCAGATAATCACAACTTGTTCAATACGATCTAAGCAATCCCAAGTGCCTCGTTTGACCCGGAAATTGAAGCAACTCTCTATTATCGCGGTATTGCTATTTTCTTACTATGGCACGCGATACAAGCAAATGACACTGTAAAACGGTGACTAAAACAAGTAATGAATCTAAATAGTTTGATCATTATAAATTATTTAGGAATTTCATTCACATTAGTAATATCATCATGTTTTTAACCAAAACATCTGAAAATTCCATTCATTTGGATACAAGGTAACAATAACGTAACAAAATAATATTTTCCGCCTTAAAACGTACCATACAATTTGCTGCCGTGTGCAGGGTGAATTTGCATAATACATCACTTCCTGTTACATTTTTGGGACGAAAATACGCAAATGACCTTATAGTTGTCGCAGGATTACTCTTGACGAAGTAATTTAAGTTTTGATTGCTAGATGTAATGGCAGGGGTCATACTAGTTTCAAAATGTTCCAGAACTTACTGAAAAGATTAATACCTTAATATTTCTACGATTAGACATGACATTCCAATGAAATAAATGACTTTTTCAAGAGCGATGAATAAATTTTACGTAATTTGCATATGTAAACAGTGCAAAGCAGCGTGTGGTGTTTCTGCTTTCCTGATGTTTTCATGTGCTGCAATAATAGAGAGCCCGCGATAATAGAGAGTTTCAGTATACAAGGGGACTAGATCCCGGTACAAGAGGGTCAGAATATGAGATGGCAACGCCTACAGTGGGTGAGTGAGGTGTGGCGGACAGGATACATGACCAGATTTAGTGAATGAGTGCCTCGACTCAAGGTTTTGTGGCAACTTTAGGATCACTATCACTGGCATGTGTAGGATATAATTCAGGCTGACATTTTACAGAGACAATATACCGGTATAAGGTCTCTGCATTTTACAAGTCTGTTGGGTTACTGATTCATAGATTCAAAACCATTTTGGTATTACATATTGAACTATTCCATAAACTGTTGTTGTTGTTTTTACTTTTAGATGTTATCATGTGTCACCAGCTAGGTGGTCATAATCACAGATGGACAACGCCGATCACATCTGCCAAGTCTGATCGTGAATATAAAAATCGAAGTTCATTTCGGAACAAATGATCCCCTTGATATTCCCCTTGATCCACTTTTGCCTCAGATATGTGGCATGTGTCTAGTGTGTACTTACATTCATGACAGTACTGACATTAAGTTCCTCGCCGCCTCCGATTTTCGCTGACACAAAATAATCAGTCGAATGACTTACTGCTGGTGTCATCGAATTTCCTTGTTTACCGCACATGTTCAAAACTTCCGGCCTTCGTGCGCAGGCGTAGTTTGGATTTAAATCCATAAAACCCGGAAAATAATAACATAAAGTCTTATAGATTACTGCGACAGCGGTATTGAAGGAATAAATACGATTTAATCAAATTCATTGCTAATTCTTCGAAAATGAGAAGTTGGCTATACTCGTTATCTGAATCGCTTTTGCAATTTAATACTTTTCTGAATCAAAAAAGATTACGTTCCTCGATATAATAAATCTTTTTTTTTATTTTTTATGAAAACATAATTTGTTCCAGAGACCCCGTTCCAGGAATATTTCTGAAAAGAATAATATATTTAGCTTAATGACAGCAAAACCCAGTGTTGCTTTCCAGACAAAAAATGTATTGGGGGTGCAAATTTAAAGAAGTGCTTTGTTCTTTTACTGGAGTTTTGCAAAAGATATGGCTACAATTAGATATCTATATATCTTGAAATGTTTTGTCTCTAATACATAGAGAATCTCCCATTGCGACTGTGACTACTTTACCCTTTGAGGCCGTTTTGACCCGCTCTGGACACGCAAAATTCTAAAAGTTTTAGAGTCTCGTAGAAAATTTGATAATGATAATGGTAATTGGGTAATTTTCTTGAAACAAATTCAAATAAATTTTCTTTAAAAATGTTATAAATCAGTGTTATATCCCTACAATGTTAGATATCTACATGTATTCTTTTGCAATGACTGCACTATACGAAAAAAAGTACAAAGTTATCTTCCCTTTTACTGCGGACTGTACCGGTGGAGGTCCTCCGGCTTAATTCAAGTGAAACCCACGTGTTGAAAAATGGCGGACGCACGAGGTAAGGCATCTGCAGTAATCGGCGCTTTTTGCAGCCCACGAATTTAATTCCTCTGAATTTAGACGTTTTTGTTATTATGATACTTTAAGCGAAGTGGTATCTTTAGCATGGTGTTACTTGAAGCCAGTGTTACTTGGTTGCATGGTTGCATTAAGATTTGAAATTTACGTCCACGTGCGTTCAACAATAACAAACTACAAAGCAGATATCGGCTGGCTGTGATTATACATGCTGTTTAGTTAAACTAAAACCAACTGGTATATTACCACAAAGGGGTCTTCTTTGCATTTAAAACCAAGTGACACACAGTTATCCTCAGCTAATGGCAGAAACAGGAAAATCGAAATTGGAGTGCGGTGTTTGGATATTTTTGGACTGAACAGAACCCATTGAACAAGTAGTAATTTGCTTGGTATACCATGGGGTAGTTAAACATGGGGTAATTTCATTTAGTTAAACATAATGTATCTTATGAATGGTTTGTACATCAAATTACAAAAGAAAATTACTGATGAAAATCCTCAAAGTAGAAATTTGCACTCCCCTAAGGCAATATTGTTGCTTGTCCAGTCTAAATTGGGAATGTATTTGTACCGGATCCTTAATTTGATGTTTGTCTATGATCATGCTGTCATATAAAATGTGTTTCCTTTTTAGAATCTAAGAAAAAGCACAGGAAGAAGAGTGGAGAGGACTTGGGGGTAAATATATTATCTATGACATATGTTATGCACTGTATCTTTCTTCACAGTAAGAATGGAGGAAAGAGTTCCTTCCGTTCCCCTAATCCTAACCCTAACTTAAATTTTGGACTTTTAGTCATGTTGTGAGTTCTCTAGTAATTGTTGTGTTAAGTTTTGTTAATAATTTTAGTATATTTATAAATATTATTTGGGATGGGGGAACGGGAGGAGCTCTTACCAGAATGGAACTATCTACAATTAATGAGTTTTAGCAGATTTTGCCATAAAGTTAGTTGCATGACACTGAAAATATTGTGATCCCACAATATTTAGAAGAATTATAGACTCGAGCTGTTACAAGAAGTCTGTCTAGGGCAGATAAGGTACCGCTGTCATGTGCAAATGCATGTCTCAAGCTGTTGTCCTGGCAATGATAGACTGGAGAGAACTCTTATTTTTGAATTCAGTAAATTTCTCAGTGTCATCCAGTGGTGGTTTTTAGACCAGCCACAGCCTGACTCCACAAAAACCAATAACCTATTACCAATTTCCATCTGTCTATTATCGTAGCATTAGCTATGGATTTAAAACATTGAAATTGAAATCGTGGCCATGTGGTAGAGAAGCATTGTCAGGGGTTCTTTTGCCTTGTGATTGGTAATGTGTTTTTGTTTACAGTCTATCCAACAGTCAGAAACTTTTCTGATTCAACCATCTGAGAAGGCAGCCAAACTAGACACATCTCAATGGCCACTGCTGCTCAAGGTGGGTCGATAGTATAGCTGTCACTCACATATTCAGTGACTTGAACCCTTATGCCTTCATGAATTCAATTCATTATTGACTAGAATTGTATACTTCCCAATACATCTGTATGTACTTGACTGACAGTGAACTAGGTTTTTATCTTAGGTTGCACCTGGTGCAAGTAGGTTAACATCTCTTAAATCGAGCCCTGGTATTAAACAATCTGACTTAGCATATTGTTTCCCTTAAGGCAATGTGATGGTGACCCTAGCTGTTATCAATCTGCTAATTGTAGGACTTCATAAATATTAACATGAAATTGTACAGGGGTAGGCCTGTCAGGTATCCTTGGGGATGTGTTGGGGAATCATCATCTCTAATATTATCCTACTGACAGTGATGAGTTAATAACATAGTTTTAGCGAGCACTTCTTTGTGTCATAATAGCGGCATAGTTCTGAGATGCTTTTTCACATTACATGTTCATGTTTATGAAAGATGTTTCGCTGCTGCCTATGAAAAGTTTAATAGTGCAACCATTACTTCATTTTCAGAACTTTGACAAGTTGAATGTGCGAACCAACCACTACACACCCATTCCATCAGGATGCTCTCCCTTGAAAAGACCCATAGAAGATTATGTGAGGTAATGATATGTCATTGATTACAACATAGATTACGACATAGATTATAATGTTGTTGACAGTGGATGATTATAGTCAAGTTGAGCTGGTCAGTCTTATAGTAATTGCTCAAATGCTCAGAGGAATAAACCTAGCATATGTGTCAAAGAATTTTTAACGTCATAGAATATTTGTTGTTAGGTTAACAGTAAGAAATCCACAGATGCCAATACCAGAGGAAGCAAACCTCAAAGACCCTTTCTGACCTTAATCTCTAACAGGGGCAGGGACCAACAAGTACCAGCTTTGTAGGTAATCGAACCATAAACTGTTCAATATCACAATGAAATCCGGGTTCAATTCCCACATTTGTAGGTAATGTGTTCACATTGTGTGGAGCCCATTTCTGGTGTTCCCTGCCATGATATTTGCTGGGATATTGCTAAAAGGGGTGTAAAACCATACTCAAGTAATCTCAAACAATGTTATTGTCCAGTTTTACATGTCCAGCCTAATCCCATCTTCAGGAGTGGTGTGATCAACCTTGACAAGCCCGCAAACCCATCATCTCATGAAGTCGTGGCCTGGATCAAACGTATTCTGCGTGTGGAGAAGACCGGTCACTCCGGTACACTTGACCCCAAGGTGACGGGATGTCTGATCGTGTGTGTCGAACGCGCCACCAGGCTGGTGAAGTCTCAGCAGGGAGCGGGGAAGGAGTACGTCTGTATCTTCAAACTACACAGCGTTGTGGAGGACCAGAAGAGAGTCAAACAGGTTAGGGCAAATCTTGCAGAAAAGTTTTTCCAATACGTCGCAATTATGGTATTGTCAAATGAAAACTAAGGGCATCTGTAATTCATAAGGTTTACAATTATGATCTTGTTTTGGATAACCAACAAGCTACAAAATATGGTCACTAGCTATGCTATAGTTTGAAAAGCTTTGTGGACATGTTTCAAATAATCTATCCAGCTGGCGTCTCCATTCTAGAGTCGCTCATGTGACAAGTTCCTTTTAACAATCAATGGGGCGGTGGGGTAGCCTTATGGTTAAAGGGTTCGCTTGTCTCGCAGAAGATCCAGGTTCGATTCCTTACATGGTACAATGTGTGAAGCACATTTCTGGTGTCCCCCTGCCATGATATTGCTGGAATATTGCTAAAAGCGGCGCAAAAGCAAACCAAATCCAACTACATTATGTAAAGCAGTAAAACTATAGTAGAACATCATGATAAGCATGATAAAGTAGTAATGTGTGAAACACGATGGATTACATTTTCAAGGAAATTTACAAGATCTTGATGCTTGGTACTAATATATTTTGTTGAACAAAATAGTGTATCATTTCTGGTGAAAGACACTTCTTAGCATTTGTACTTCATTGACAGACAATTGAAGGCATGACGGGAGCTCTCTTCCAACGTCCACCTCTCATCTCTGCCGTCAAACGTCAGCTTCGTATCCGCACAGTGTATGAGTGCAAGATGACAGAGTATGATCAAGAGAAAGCTATGGGTAAGTCCTCTGTCATTACTTTTCTTCAAACTTTCTTGGTTATGATGATCATTTAACAAACACGTTTTTGAATTGTTTTAAACTTGCGAACTTTTTTGTATCTGACCTTGCTTTTGCTCAGATATCATAGGAAGTTCATGAGTTTCATAAAATTAGTGTGTGAAGAGAATAGGTCTGGTATTTTATTTGTTACCCATCTTTTAACAGTTTTTACATTCTAACCGCTCTTAACTTTTGAGAATGAGGAACCTAGGGGCATCCATGGTCATTCAGCCAAAGACCACGAATTGGGGATCAACTCCATGTGACACAGATCCATCTTGTATATCACATGTGTCATTTGAGTTATGCATCTTCTTTTGTTTGTTCACCACATGGGTAATAAAGGGAAATAACTAGGAAAATATGACACTTTAAACACATTCTAAATCGCTTCCTTTAGATTGAGGCTTGTTTTCAGGTTATATTTGGTCTCCAGTAACTATAGTTACAGTCCGTTTGAGTCAGAAACAGACCGATGAATTGCAAATTTTATCATTGTACAAAATTGCCACATAAATATAAATAGTACACATGTTTATCATTTACTAATACCCAACAGCTTTCTTATATATGAAAATTTTCCGGACTCCACCAAAAAAGTTCTTTAAGAAACTTGACACAGTTCACTATTTGTTACGAGGGAGGAGTGCAGAGAAAGGGACAGCCAGGTGTTAGAGAAGCACGTGCACACCAAGTTATTGATTCATTAGCCTGTGCTGTGCTGTCTCCATCCTTTCTCGCACACTGTGGGTATTAGTAAATGATAAACGTGTACTATTTATATTTATGTGGCAATTTTGTACAATGATAAAATTTGCAATTCATCGGTCCGTTTCTGTCTCAAACGGACTGTACTTTTGCTATTACAAGAGGTAACCGAATGGATTGAGCGAAGGCTTAGTTTGTTGCATGTCATTGCACGTAACAATCACTGGTTTGTCTGGTCTAAACTTGATTATTAGAGGCGGCTGTCATGTAGCTGGAATATAGCTGAGTGTGGCGTCAACGTAGCCTACATGTGAGTGTTGTCCATGTCTTGAGTGACTATATAACTGAAGGGTGGTTCTCTGTGTTTGCTCAGGTATATTCTGGGTGAGCTGTGAGGCGGGCACCTACATCCGAACCATGTGTGTCCATCTTGGCCTCTTCCTAGGGGTCGGAGGTCAGATGCAGGAACTGCGTAGGGTTCGCTCAGGGATTCAGTCAGAGAAGGTACGTTGTGTGCGGCGATGCGTTGATTCTGTTTCGAGGACTCGAGCAGGATCCTTTTTAGGAAATAAACATCATGTGTTGGCCAATTTCTAGGTGTTATTGAGTATTTGAAGCAAGGGTTTTTTATTTGGAACCTACAGCATTAGTCTGTCACGGTAGCATCTGGAACTGCTCATTTGTGACGTTATTCGGACTAGTGTTGGGAACTGGTTAAAATCTCATAATTGATGATTGGTTCATTACAACCGATCAATCATCGAAAATAATTGGTTAGCGTCATTTATGAAAGTTGTTGATGCACAAAAAAAAATAAGGAAAACAACATTTAGTTCTGTGGGTTTTTTGAGCATCTTTAAAGGATGTCTAGTATGTTAGGAACATAAATTTCTTAGAGTCTTTAAGATAAATTCAATCATGACTTGGAACGAGCTTGTAGTGCTTATGAAAAGTAACAAACAAATACTGTTAATGAAAACAAGTGTTCCAGAGTTGTTTGTGTTCGATTATGAGAAAACATGATCGACTGCTTGGTCATTTAGTCACTGCGACCAATCTTCGATTATTTCAATGAATCGGACCACCACTAATTCAGACTTTGTCACAATATGATGTGAATGACGTCACCACTGCTGACGACATTATAATACAATAGTGTGTGCTATATTTGTACGTATTAATTTCCGGGAATCAAATACCATTCGATTATGTTTTTCAACCAATCAAATTAAAGAACACACTGACTTGGTTTACAATCAAGTTTGACCTTTTTGTTTCCATTTCTGTCATCGGTCAATGTTGTAACTATCATAATTGTCACCGTCACCACTTGTTTACATAATGCTTTATCAATGATTTAAATGCTCATACTGGGTCAGCATGGAAGAAGGTGGTGTGTCGCTCGGATAATGTTCTTTGTTTCACAAAACAATGTAAACAAAATTCCCATGATCTGTTTGATTGGCATTTAGAAGTTGGTGACTAAGAAAGTCAGATTGTTTATGGATAACAACTTCTTTTATTATATATGATGCGACGTTTCGGTATGGGTACTTTTACCATTGTCAAGCAAGAGTGAAGTACTACAGCACAGAACAGACTTACATACATGAACAGGGATTAAGTAATAACATGTAGGTATGAATCAAGGGGATTAACAACAACAAGGCACGGTGGTAATAATGTAGTGACTATAGGAGGAAGCCAATGGGCCCATGCTATTATTTACATATGTTGATTGTTGATCGATACTGGTCATAGTGAAACAGGATTTAGATTGTCCAGGGCAAAGCTATCGTAGCGCTACGACTGTCGTAAGTCTGTTACAGTATAGGAGTTACAGCAGTCGTAGCGCTACGATAGCTTTGTGAATCCGGACCCAGGCCGTTGATTCTGATGAGCTAACTTTGTCATGAAGTTTGTATTACGCCTGCTTGAAATCGGTGAAATAGATAAGAGACCTACCTGAAGCATTGAAGTCAAAGATACAGCATCTGTATCTACTTGGTAGGGCTGCGCAATATAACCGGTTTAACGGTGATTACCCGTTCAGACATGAAAACGATACTTATTGCGATACGCTGATTGAGAACCGGTATTTTGACTTGCATTTGGGAAACTTCGTAACACTCGGAAATGTTCGGATATGTCCTTGTTTCATTTGGGCCAAATATTATTCACATTTTTATTTTATCATGATTAAAAGTTGTTATTAAAGCTTAATCAAGCCTAGTGGTTTTGTTGTGTTTTTGCTCTATAAATCAGGAAGTAACTCAATTATAAGTAGTTTTTGTTTAAAAATACTTCATGCAATACATATCGCAATACATGCTTTCGCATCGCAATATATTGCAATATGAAAATTCTCTGCAATACCCAGCCCTACTATCTACTTGGCTATGGAAACAGGAGGAAAACACAAACCTACCTGTCAATTGATGCTGAGGTTTGTATCTTGTTTCCAGGAGGGGATGGTGACTATGCACGACGTGATGGATGCCCAGTGGGCGTACGACCATCACAAGGATGAAGAGTATCTGCGCAGAGTTATCCGCCCCTTGGAGTCTCTTCTCATCTCTCACAAGAGAATCATCATGAAAGACACTGCTGTATGTACACTTTCAATATTAGGGGTGGTGGGATAGCCTAGTAGTTTAAAGGGTTTGATTGATTTCAGTGAGTACAGTGGGTGAAGCAGATTTCTGGTGTCCTCAGCATAAAACCTCACTTTTAGGTTTTCTCAAAGATTAAAATGCCTTGATTTTGAATATGCCCTTGAGGGCTTATAGATTTGATAGTGTGTTTCCAATCCAGTTTTTATTTTGTGCTCCATGGTGTGACAAAGGTATTTAATTATATTTGGTTACAGATGTCATGACGATACCCACTGAATGTCCATTTTGTCGTGAATGTACCTTTGATGTTGACATTAATATTCTCTCTCCAGATCAATGCTGTGTGTTATGGAGCAAAGATCATGTTGCCTGGTGTGCTGAGATACGACGATGGCATTGAGGTCAACGATGAGATCGTCATTATCACAACTAAAGGGGAGGCTGTAGCATTAGGTGTGTAGCCCGTCTGCCGTTCTCTGTGTTTGGGGAAGAAGTACATTCCTGAAGCTGACAATAAATGGAGGATCATTTGTGTGTTTTTCCAGGTGTGGAAGAAAATGCCTCCAATTTCATGTCCAGACTGACATTGTAAAACTTACTTTGCTAATATCAGTTACATCTTCCAGAAATCAAAAGGGTTAGTTTCCATGGTAGAGACATATTTATGAAGTCATGCTTTTGATTTTGTCTGGCATGATTCGATATTAAGGTCCTATCACTCCCAGACTCACAGCATCAGGGGCCTTGACTGATTATTTGCAATTTAAATGATAGCTGGGAAGTTTTAAATGCATGTGATTATCTTTCCAGCCATTGCTCAAATGACGACAGCAGTGATCTCCACGTGTGACCACAATGTTGTGGCCAAGATCAAGCGGGTTATTATGGAGAGGGACACCTACCCTCGCAAGTGGGGCTTGGGACCGAAGGTGGGTGATAGAGCGTCAAGATGATGTTGTCAAGGCAACATTCATTAGATAAAACTTATGTTCCATGCAACTGTGCAAACTAATAATTAGTTATAAAAAAAACATTCATTAGAAAAAACCTGGGGGAAAAACCCTTAAAATTGGTGATTACATTAAAAATGTATATATTTTGATTATAATCGATAATCATTCACCACAAGTCCTCCGATAATCGACAGATTTTGTTTCTGATTCCCAACACTAATGCTGCTTATTGATGCTTGATGTGTTTGTTCAAATCTACCCTATTTTTCAGGCATCTCAAAAGAAGAAAATGATTTTAGATGGCAAACTTGATAAATATGGCAAACCCAATGAGAAGACTCCAAAGGATTGGTCCAAGTCATACGTAGATTTCAAGTGAGTGTCTTGTTTTAGTGAACAGTGCTGAAATTGTTTTGAGGTGGCTAAATATTTATCGTGGTTCAATGGTTTTGCAAGTTGATTTATCAGTTATATTTGATAAAACCCAAAGTTATCTGGATGACATCTTTCCCTCATGGTTTTGGCCTAATACAGAATAACAGTGCATTGGTTTGTGTTTCATGCTCCATTGGGGCGGTGGGGTAGCCTGATGGTTAAAGCGTTCGCTCATCATGCCGAAGACCCGGCTTCGATTCCCCACATGGGTACAATGTGTGAAGCTCATTTCAGGTGTCCCCCACCGTGATATTGCTGGAATATTGCTAAAAAGCGGCGTAAAACCAAACTCACTCACTCACTCATGCTCCATCAGTCCATCCCTGCAAGATGTTTATGGGGCTGATCATATATGATATATTGTCACCAAACTTGGTACATTGACAGCTGTAGTGATGCCTTTTGATGGTTTAGGATTTTTGAGAGAAAAAGTTAGTTTCCATAGTTACAACTTTGGCTTAGAATGAAAATGGGTGGGGGTGAATGGTCATTTCCGGAGTAGATCTTGGATACTGCATAATTATTATCCCCCGCAACGCGTTTTGCGGGGGGTATTAAAATGGACTCCGTCCGTCCGTGCACATTTGTCTTTTCCGGAGCAGAACTCTAAAACCGTTCACTATTTCTTCACCAAACTTGGCAAATACATGGATCTGGTGGTGTACTGGTGCCTTTTGGTAGTTTTGGAATTCTGAATTAAAAGTTTTTGGCGTTTCCATGGCAACAAGTTCGACTTTGACTGAAATTAGTGGTAGTGCTCTTTTCCGGAGCAGAACTCTGAAACCGTTCAATATTTCTTCACCAAACTTGGTACATGGATAGATCTGGTGGTGTACTGGTGCCTTTTGGTAGTTTTGGAATTCTGAATAAAATATTGTTGGCGTTTCCGTGGCAACAAGTTCCACTTAGACTGAAATTGGTGGTAGTGCTCTTTTCCGGAGCAGAACTCTAAAACCGTTCAATATTTCTTCACCAAACTTGGCACATAGATAGATCTGGTGGTGTACTGGTGCCTTTTGGTAGTTTTGGAATTCTGAATAAAATATTTTCGGCGTTTCCATGGCAACAAGTTTGACTTAGACTGAAATTGGTGGTTGTGCTCTTTTCCGGAGCAGAACTCTAAAACCGTTCAATATTTCTTCACCAAACTTGGCACATAGATAGATCTGGTGGTGTACTGGTGCCTTTTGGTAGTTTTGGAATTCTGAATAAAATATTTTTGGCGTTTCCATGGCAACAAGTTTGACTTAGCCTGAAATTGTGGTAGTGCTCTTTTCGAACAGAACTCTAAAACCGTTCAATATTTCTTCACCAAACTTGGCACATAGATAGATCTGGTGGTGTACTGGTGCCTTTTGGTAGTTTTGGAATTCTGAATAAAATATTTTTGGCGTTTCCATGGCAACAAGTTCCACTTAGACTGAAATTGGTGGTTGTGCTCTTTTCCGGAGCAGAACTCTAAAACCGTTCAATATTTCTTCACCAAACTTGGCACATAGATAGATCTGGTGGTGTACTGGTGCCTTTTGGTAGTTTTGGAATTCTGAATAAAATATTTTTGGCGTTTCCATGGCAACAAGTTTGACTTAGCCTGAAATTGTGGTAGTGCTCTTTTCGAGACAGAACTCTAAAACTGTTCACTATTTCTTCACCAAACTTGGCACATAGATAGATCTGGTGGTGTACTGGTGCCTTTTGGTAGTTTTGGAATTCTGAATAAAATATTTTTGGCGTTTCCATGGCAACAAGTTTGACTTAGCCTGAAATTGTGGTAGTGCTCTTTTCGAGACAGAACTCTAAAACTGTTCACTATTTCTTCACCAAACTTGGCACATAGATAGATCTGGTGGTGTACTGGTGCCTTTTGGTAGTTTTGGAATTCTGAATAAAATATTTTTGGCGTTTCCATGGCAACAAGTTTGACTTAGCCTGAAATTGTAGTAGTGCTCTTTTCCGGAGCAGAACTCTAAAACCGTTCAATGTTTCTTCACCAAACTTGGCACATAGATTGGTCTAGTGGTGTACTGGTGCCTTTTGGTAGTTTTGGAATTCTGAATAAAATATTTTTGGCATTTCCATGGCAACAAGTTTGACTGAAATTGGTGATAGTGCTGCTTTCTGGAGCAGAACTTTAAAAACCTTTCAATACTCTCCTTCCACTTTTCTATATACACACCTAAATATTTCTATATACACACCTAAATATTTGACATAATCATAACTCGTAGACATAATCATGAAGAGTATTTTGCCATTGCGGGGGATATTGATGACTTTGTCTTCTTGTTTTTCTTGCAACTTGGCACATGGTTTAGACACGAGGGCCGGTGGGGTAGTCTAGTGGTTAAAGCGTTGGTTTGTCACCCCTAAGACCCGGGTTCGAATCCCCACATGGGTACAATGAGTGAAGCCCATTTCTGGTGTCCCCTGCCGTGATATTGCTGGAATATTGCTAAAAGCGGCGTAAAACCAAACTCACTCAGTCAGTCAGTCAGTTTAGACACGACATGGTCTAATGTTTTGGATATTTTGAAACAATTTTTTGTTTTCAAATTTACATAGCAACAGGTTTCATATTCACTAGTATGTTCTGCATTATGAAAGTATAAAATATTGATTTGTTTCCTTTTTTTCAGTATTAAGAAGGAAGAAACCTCCAATGGCTCAGGAGATGCACCTCCATCAACACCAGGAAAAGCCACAAAGGTGAGTTCTTTGCTATACTTCATGTAACATTTAAATGAGGATGGGACAGTCTCCGTGGTGTAGTGGTTAGAGCGTCAGCCCGGAGAGCGGACGGTCGCTGGTTCGATCCCTGACCGCGTCATACCAAAAGACGTTAAAATATGGTACTTGTTGGTCCCTGCCTGGCACTCGGCATTAATGGGTACAACAAGGACTGGTCAGCTCAGAGTCAGTATAATGTGTCTGAGTGGGGTATTCATGCTTCACTGCGGCATGGTATCTCAGTGGGCTAGCACTATAAAACCAGCTTAAGTCTGGGCTAGTACAAGCAGCCACACATACACATACACACGCATGCACGTCATCATATGAGTGAAACATTCTCAAGCACAACGTAAAACCCATTTTCACCTCACCTCAAATGAGGATGGTAGGTCAGGGCTGTTAAGCATTTTGGGTGGGTGCGTGCGTGCGTGTGTGTGTGTGTGTGTGTGTGTGTGTGTTTGCGTTGTTATGGCGAATGTTTGGGGTTTTCAGGGTTTGATTACAAACATTTCAATATTATCACACATGTGATCCTGTTTGTACTGGTTTATATTAATTAAAAGGACTATATAAAAGAACAATGTGTTGTGTCACGAAGTATATGTGTTAAATATATGAACATGATAAAAATCTTGATTTGGACATTTTGAAAGAAAAATGCCAATTTAAGGTGCCGTGTCTGACCTTAATATATGGACATAGGGTTGCAAGAAGGGTGCAAGTAGGTTTCATTTCCATAAATTGAGAATTCCTTAAATCCTGAAACACACTGGTAGCTTCCCCTTCCATGCTGTTGATTTAAAATTATTTAAAATGGTACAAGAAGCATGTTCACTCAAACTTGTCAAATGTCTCGAAGGAGGAATAATAGCGTCATTTGTGGTAATCTAATCTATTTTCAAATAGTTTCTGTCCAGTTTTAGGGGCAATGGGGTAGCCAGATGGTTCAAGCGTTTGCTCGTCATGCTGAAGACCCAGGTTCAATTCCTCACATGGGTACAATGGGTGAAGCCAATTTTTGGTGTCTCCCACCATGATGTTGCTGGAATATTGTTAAAAACGGCCTAAAACCATACTCACCCGCTCATCACTGTCTAGGTTTACAGATAAGCAACAAATTTTGATTGAATACACTCAAAAACCTTACAACTACTGGTGTATCAACATAAGTACCATGTATTTCTGTTTTGGATTTCGATGCTCAAGCTGTTGATCACTGGATTGTCCAGGGGTGGAAATATCTTTAAAATTGATAGTGTACTCTGGCACATTGGCACATGTAAAGTCACTTGCCCTGATAATTTTTCCACTATACCAACTGTTTTCTTGCTGATTATTTAAATAAACAACATAATTAACATTGGAAAGTCAACTGGACACCGGTACAGTGTGATATACAAATTTGCTTGCCCGACAAAAAAAGATCACTGGACTCGGACGTCGGGCAATGGGTTATTTCCACCCCTGTTGTCTGGCCCAGACTTGGTTTTTTACAGACCACCACCATTTAGCTGGAATATTGCTGATTGTGGTGTAAAACTAAACTCACTGAAAGTGGTTTTTATACACCTCTGTTGTGTGTGTGTCATTAACACCTGGTTGACTTGTTGCAGAGGAAGCTCGATGGCTCCAGCAGCAGCAGTTCCGACGAGGAAGTTGCCACACCCGCAAAATCTCAGACACAAGAGACACCAGAAAGTAGTGAGAAGAAGAAAAAGAAGAAGAAGAAGAAAGACAAGAAGCAAGAGGAAGTTGAGGAGGTGAGTCATCCTCTTCTGATTTCTTCATCAAAAAAATAATATTTTACCTCATCCTCACTCACACTATTTGCTACCCGTGGGAAGGTCCGGGTTAGAATATTGATCTTCAGTAACCCATGCTTGCCGTGATATTGCAAAATTGCTAAAATCTGCATTAACTAAACTGACTCACTCACTCACATCAAGATACAGTGGGAAATGTCTGTAGTTCCCCAACTATGCTTGTCGAACACACCCCACATCCAGACACTTACCCTTAACTTGGGGATCGGTGATAAGGCTGACAATGCTGACTTGGTTGACTAATAATTGACACTTGTCATCTGTTCCCAGTTCGGCGCAGATTGATGCTCATGCTGTTGATCACTGGATTGTGTGGATTGCGACATTTACAGACCGTCATGTAGCTGGATAATTGTTTGGCATAAAACTAAACACACGCTCGCTCACTCACTCAAACACTTGACAGTGCACAATGGACAATCACAACTGAAAACAAAAATCTCAAAACACAGTATGTCTATACTAACATGAGTTAGTTTGGGTAAGAGTTCTGATGGAAATGGATTCCTTATTGCATGATCGTTTCTACAGTGTATCGCTGCATTTCGAGATAACTACTGCATTTGTAAACTTTGTTCTACTTGTGTAATGGAGCAGTCTGTCATCTTTATTCCAGCCTTCATCAGAGAAGAAGAAGAAAAAGAAGAAGAAGAAGAAACAGGAGTCTGACTCTGATTAGATCAATGTACTCCATTATTCCCATCAGGGAGGTATACGACAGATACCGCACAGGATATACGAGATATGCCACCCGGAAAGTCTACAGAACTGTACAAGAGGTGTGGCACTGGATGTATAGGGTTGCAGGTCAGGATTTGTGGAATGGCAAGGAACTGCATACACCAAACCTCAGCCTGAAGACAAGACATGGTTCCATGTGTAGGACAATGTGATTGTGGTGATGGACAAGCTTGTTGGTGTAGAAAACTGAACGAGTTCAGGGAAGATATACTACAAGTCCCTAGCCTCAGTGCTTCTCTGTGGTCTTAAAATACAAACTTACCAGTTCATTCCTTTCGTTGAATCAGCCATGTGTTTCATATTCGTTTTGGTTTTGTTCAGTTACACATACTAATCTGAGATGTCTCAGATTTGAAGTACTTACTGTAAATCATGAAATTAATGCGTCACAAATTTAATGCGAGTGCAAGGGTCTAGACTAAAATGCATCACGAAATTAATGCGAGCTCAGGAATCTGTGTTGATGATAAAATGTGACACCCTGAATCTTTGGTGGTGTTCTTTTTCTTTTCACAAATAACCTTTGATGTTTGAATGGAAATGAGCTGACGATGTTTTGATTACACTGCCATGTTTGATCACGTGATTGCTTGCAACTACTTGTCGTATAAACATAATCCGACTTCAAAGACATAAGTCATCTACCAAGGTACGGTTCATGGCCGGGAAGATACCTGTAATGAGGAAGTGACCTGTATTGGTGTAATGTGTAGTGTCAACAGATTTACATTTACTGTCTTTTAATAAGTTCTCAAAAGTAGACATGGTCAGACTGAAATGCATCATTATAATAATGCAAGAAGAGTACCGACGCATTTTTCGCATTAATTTCATGATTTACAGTATTCGATTTGTTGCAAAAATCAATGGTTGGGTGAATTTGCACCCTCTGAAAATGTGTTACAAGGTATTATTTGGTTTTCAAGGTCTTGATTTTAAAATCAAAGTATTTTTAACTGATGTAAAACAGGAAATTGTTTTGAGGAGAGGATTTGGATACTGCCATGTTGTGTATGTGGTACACAGACTATTTGTTTTAGTTTAGTGAATGGATGGATTTACACCAATATTATGTAGTGATAAATAATACTGAAAATCAGTGAAGTTATCAGGATTATGCATTTATCAATCATTTGATTAATTTTAGTTTTTAAACACAGAAGAGAGATCGTGTCACTGAAGTTGACATCAAGTATTTACGAGATTTGGGTTGAGTGTTGATAATAGCAAATTGCTGGCACGAATAATAGCATTTGCTGAGGTTACTTACAGAGGATTATTTCAGTATTTACTTGTTATAGTTCTTCATTTTGGCTTGTCTTACATCTTATTCTGTTTTTCGGGCATTAACAATCATATTCTCAAGAATTCTCTCATACAATGTTAGTATTGGATACCAAGTTATTTTAAATGTTATGAAATATGCCGTAATTTTACTCACCAGATCAAAGTGGTGACAATAATGAACTCTAAGAATGTGCCAAATTGGTTGAAGAATAACGTCCTATGGGATAGACTCGCACCAAGTTCAGGAAGAATATCAAAGGGGGGGTAGATATTTCTTGGATTCTGACAGACAAAACCTTAAAAAATTGCTTCTTATAAGGTTGAGTAATTTAACAAAAGCGAGAGAAATGAAATGTTTTATTCAAGATAAAAATGCAAGATTCCATGGTAAAAGGTTACTAAGGTGTTTTCTGACTTAATGCATTTAACATTCCTAAAGCTATAGTGCGAAAGGAATGTCAATCGTAGCTAGCTACATGTGAGCTGGTTCGATCAAGTTTTCGCACAAGAGATGACACGCAGTGTTTTTATGAAAGTTTGGAGTGATGGACATGTAATGTGCATTTCTGTCATCAGGTATACATCATTGTATTTTGTAAAACATATTGTAAATAAATCATCATTAACTAATGCTTATTGTCTTTTACAAATCATCACTGTCTGGATTTAGAGGGCTCGTCACGCTGAAGACCCGGGTTCAATTCCCCACAGGGGTAACAATGTGTGAAGCCCATTTCTGGTGTCCCCTGCCGTGATATTGCTGGAATATTGCTAAAGCGGTGTAAAATTGAACTCGCTCACTCACTAGATTTAGACGGCAAAAGTGGCCTTGTCATCTGAGGTTCTGCTGTTCTCTGCAGAGTTGTGTCCCATTGTTTGACGGGAAACCTGTTATTGTCCCCATTTGCAAAAGGGGACTATGTATTCAACAGCGTCCATACGTACGTCCCGATTCTTGTTAACGCGATATCTCATGAACTGTTGTACCCAATGTCTTCATATTTGGTGACAGCCTACACTGGGGGATTACGCAGACAACTGTCAATATTGGTGAGCTTGACCTTATCTTTGATCACTGTTTAAACTCTTGTTAACACGATTTCTGATGAACTGTTGTACCCAATGTCTTCAATTATGTCGACAGCCTACATTGGGTGATTATACAGACACCAGTCATTTCAGGCATCTTTTATCTGACAAAAATATAAAAAGTAGTAATGTTATAAGTATTTCGTTCTTTAGCGGCGGGGGACATTGTCATATTAGTGGCAAACACTTGTTATTAGATCGAAAGCCAGGTTCACCCGATTCCTTGGTTTGTCATTCTCTGGTCTCGTATTCACAAAAGTGATAAATGTATGCAGTGATTGAACTAGAATACTCTTGTGTGTTCGTGGCATTTAACCCAAGTTACCCAACTCGCTGTCCAGATCAACTGCTTGAATTAGCTTTGGTGGGTTCAAACACACTGTATTAGCTTGTGGTGGGTTCAGACCCTACACTGTGTAGATAAGCTTGTGGTGGGTTCAAACACACTAGTAGTTTATGGTGGGTTCAGACCTTGCACTGTATTAGCTTATGGTGGGTTCAGACCCTAAACTATGTAGATTAACTTGTGGGTTCAGACCTTACACAGTGTAGATTAGCTGGTGGAGGGTTCAGACCTACACTGTGTAGATCAACCTGTGGTGGGTTCAGACCTTACACTCTGTAAATCCGCTTGTGGTGGGTTCAGTCCTTACATTGTGTAGATCAACTTGTGGTGGGTTCAGACCTTACACTGTGTAGATCAGCTTGTGGGTTCAGACCTTACACTGTGAAGATTAGCTTGTGGTGGGTTCAGACCTTAGTGTAGATCAGCTTGTGGTGGGTTCAGACCTTACACTGTGTAGATCAGCTTGTGGGTTCAGACCTTACACTGTGTAGATCAGCTTGTGGGTTCAGACCTTACACTGTGTAGATTAGCTTGTGGTGGGTTCAGACCTTAGTGTAGATCAATTTGTGATGGGTTCAGACCTGACACTGTGTAGATTAGCTTGTGGTGGGTTCAGACCTTACACTGTGTAGATCAGCTTGTGGTGGGTACAGACCTTACACAGTGGAGATTAGCTTGTGGTGGGTTCAGACCTTACACAGTGGAGATCAGCTTGTGGTGGGTTCAGACCTTACACAGTGGAGATTAGCTTGTGGTGGGTTCAGACCTTACACAGTGGAGATCAGCTTGTGGTGGGTTCAGACCTGACACTGTGTAGATTAGCTTGTGGTGGGTTCAGACCTTACACTGTGTAGATCAGCTTGTGGTGGGTTCAGACCTTACACTCTGTAGATCAGCTTGTGGTGGGTTCAGACCTTACACTGTGTAGATCAGCTTGTGGTGGGTACAGACCCTACACAGTGGAGATCAGCTTGTGGTGGGTTCAGACCTTACACAGTGGAGATTAGCTTGTGGTGGGTTCAGACCTTACACAGTGGAGATCAGCTTGTGGTGGGTTCAGACCTGACACTGTGTAGATTAGCTTGTGGTGGGTTCAGACCTTACACTGTGTAGATCAGCTTGTGGTGGGTTCAGACCTTACACTCTGTAGATCAGCTTGTGGTGGGTTCAGACCTTACACTGTGTAGATCAGCTTGTGGTGGGTTCAGACCCTACACAGTGGAGATTAGCTTGTGGTGGGTTCAGACCTTACACTCTGTAGATCAGCTTGTGGTGGGTTCAGACCTTACACTGTGTAGATCAGCTTGTGGTGGGTTCAGACCTTACACAGTGGAGATCAGCTTGTGGTGGGTTCAGACCTGACACTGTGGAGATTAGCTTGTGGTGGGTTCAGACCTTACACTGTGTAGATCAGCTTGTGGTGGGTTCAGACCTTACACAGTGGAGATTAGCTTGTGGTGGATTCAGACCTTACACTCTGTAGATCAGCTTGTGGTGGGTTCAGACCTTACACAGTGGAGATTAGCTTGTGGTGGGTTCAGACCTTACACAGTGGAGATCAGCTTGTGTTGGGTTCAGACCTTACACAGTGGAGATCAGCTTGTGGTGGGTTCAGACCTTACACAGTGGGTAGATCAGCTTGTGGGTTCAGACCTTACACAGTGGAGATTAGCTTGTGGTGGGTTCAGACCTTACACTGTGTAGATCAGCTTGTGGTGGGTTCAGACCTTACACAGTGGAGATTAGCTTGTGGTGGGTTCAGACCTTACACAGTGGAGATCAGCTTGTGGTGGGTTCAGACCTTACACAGTGGAGATCAGCTTGTGGTGGGTTCAGACCTTACACAGTGGAAATTGGCTTGTGGTGGGTTCAGACCTTACACTGTGTAGATCAGCTTGTGGTGGGTTCAGACCTGCACAGTGGAGATTAGCTTGTGGTGGGTTCAGACCTTACACAGTGGAGATCAGCTTGTGTGGGTACAGACCTTATACTCTGTAGATCAGCTTGTGGTGGGTTCAGACCTTACACAGTGGAGATCAGCTTTGTGGTGGGTTCAGACCTTACACAGTGAGATCAGCTTGTGGTGGGTTCAGACCTTACACAGTGGAGATTAGCTTGTGGTGGGTTCAGACCTTACACAGTGGAGATCAGCTTGTGGTGGGTACAGACCTTATACTCTGTAGATCAGCTTGTGGTGGGCTCAGACCTTACACAGTGGAGATCAGCTTGTGGTGGGTACAGACCTTATACTCTGTAGATCAGCTTGTGGTGGGTACAGACCCTTACACAGTGGAGATCAGCTTGTGGTGGGTTCAGACCTTACACAGTGGAGATCAGCTTGTGGTGGGTTCAGACCTGACACTGTGTAGATTAGCTTGTGGTGGGTTCAGACCTTACACAGTGGAGATTAGCTTGTGGTGGGTTCAGACCTTACACTCTGTAGATCAGCTTGTGGTGGGTACAGACCTTACACAGTGGAGATCAGCTTGTGGTGGGTTCAGACCTTACACAGTGGAGATAAGCTTGTGGTGGGTACAGACCTTATACTCTGTAGATCAGCTTGTGGTGGGCTCAGACCTTACACAGTGGAGATCAGCTTGTGGTGGGTACAGACCTTATACTCTGTAGATCAGCTTGTGGTGGGTACAGACCTTACACAGTGGAGATCAGCTTGTGGTGGGTTCAGACCTTACACAGTGGAGATCAGCTTGTGGTGGGTTCAGACCTGACACTGTGTAGATTAGGTTGTGGTGGGTTCAGACCTT